CGTTGGCCTCAACCTCGGACAAGTCCATGAGGGTCAGGCTATTTTGCTCGCAGAGACTCTGCCAGTATGGAATAGTAGCCTTGAGTTCAGCCTTGCTGCACCATGCTTTTGCACTCGCATACATCGAAGTGACTTCCACGGTGCTATTGCATGGTCCAGTGGAGGTTCCTGAGCTGCCCTTATGTCCTCGGCGGAGTAGAGATCTCTTACTGTATGAGGGCTCGCTTGCAGCGGAGGACTGCGCGTTAGAAGAGGACTGATTGCTCGAAGAGGTTTGCCCCATTGATGAAGGGGATTGCCCATCACCAGAGGTATCAGAGCTTCCATGGCTAGTCCCATCACCGTCCTGGGAAGATGCCAAAATTGTACTCCCAGCAAATGTGTATTCCGAAAGGGCTGTATAAATGGAATAGAAACAGTACTTATCGTAACTATCAGCGGCATTATGGCTTTCTCCTTGTCCCGCAAGGACTGGGACTCCTGCCCAGCACAGTGCGAGAAAGGCAGCTCCGGGGTGCATTGTGCCGATCGTGACAATGATTTTCTCCTGAAGGAAGAATCCTCTCGGGATATTATATATCTGGTGGTGTCCATTACAGAGTAACTAGAAGTCACTGGCTGGACGAGGGCCCATGACTATTGGTATCCGTGGAAGCCCACCAGATACGCATATTCCCCCACTTGTGGCGCTTTCGACATGAGAGGGGCCAGGAAGCCAAGGATTGCATTTACAAGACTCCCAGTTAGTCTGTATCTCCGATAATGGGGCATCTCGACCCTGCCAGCTCCGAGAAAATACTCTCTCTGACATGGTTCACACGGAATTATGGCCCAACGTATGATATACGCATGCACCGTATGTGAGAAGAGGCGCTAAGCGAAGCTAGCCTATGCACAGCTGAGTCAAGGATCAATCCTGGCTACCGAGTTTGCACCATCTAATTTCCGACTCAAGAACTTGCCAAGTTTTGCTGTGCGGCAGATGCTGGCTACAGCAGGGTATCCACTCAGCCTTGGCAATGGAAGCACAGGATGCTATTATGAGTCCAGCCTGCCGCAGCGAAGAGTCTGCAATATGCTCCGGTATGATTCCTAGCAAATATACATGATCTGACCCACTTAGTAGTGGTGTTTATTGTAATTCTTGGCACGAAGTCAAGCCTTACAGCTAAGCTCCTGCCAAGGAGCCCACTTTACGAAACGTGTACTGACAGTACAGAACAGTTTCTAGGGCAAGTGAACATTCAGTCTCGGTCAACAGGCGGATCAAGAGCATAGAAGACAGACCATCCAAACCGTAGAGTAGCCAAGACTTCGAGACTGTTCTTTGGCATCTTTGCTTACCCAAGCTACTTGTGGGCTAGACTTGCTAAGAAAAAGTTGAGTGATGCCAAGTCTCTCGCTTCGGTATACAAGTACTAACTACAGAGTACTAGGCATTCTGTATGCTGTCAGGCTCCGACTAAACATCTAATGTTCCTCTTGTGGTAGCCTCCAAAGAGCCTATGAAATTTGCACAGCTATGTCCAAGTCAATAAATCGCAGCACATATACTGGGTTTAACAAGGCCGTACGACCTCACATTTGCGTGATAAACTGAGTCATACTTGTCCTAACTTACAGCAATGTCGAAAGCCAATCTTCGCTTGGTGGTGTGATGTATAGTCGAATATGCGCCGGGGAACTTCCGTCTCTTCCATATAGTGTATCCGATTAGATTGATAAGAGAAATTGCGCTCGGAAAGTATATACTCTTTTGCAATGGCTCTTCCCTGTCTCCGCTGTGGCAATCACTAACCGTGGAGATTTGTAGTAGAACCCACACAATACGGGATATCAGACAATAACCCCTACGCGTCTCCCAAGGTTTCCGCCACTAGGCGATTCCCCGGATTATGCGCGAAATGGACATCCATCCCGATTTGGTCAGGTTTGCGAGCTGTGATCTTGGCGACCCACTGCTCCGAGTGGAACGGAAGGCAGCTATCAATCTGATATTCAGGCGGGAATAGCGTCAACCATATTTTCATAGTTGTCGAGTTTCGGCTATTAGCAAGTATTCTCTCTCCGGCGCTGTCGGAGTGAAGACGGGCAGATAATCTGGCATTTATCTCCGACCAAGTGCCATAGCTTGACCATTGCATGGTTACAAAGTGTAGGTGTAACTTTCAATCTTGGATTCTAATAATCAGGCAATGGAATATATGGTGGCTATAGTGAGACATGAATGTAAATTGACTATGAGCAGAACTAGTTTAATGTATTCTATGTAATTATTCCAGTGGGCGTCACTGCCTCACCCCGTTCCGCAGCATTATTAAACCAACATGCGGCTGTTCTTGATAGGAGCCACCCCATACCTGTACCTTGTTAGCGATGGTTCCTAACTCCAGAAAATAGCTATGAAATCTTACCACACTATGGAGGCCAAACCAACAAAAGCGGCCACGCAACTGAAAACCAATGCTACGATGCCGCGTGCCGTGAAGCCGGCAGGGAGCGGCGCAACGGCCCTGTTCTCCCCTGTAAGGTCATAGAAATCCTCAGTGTTTCCCGCTGCGTTACCTTCGGTTGGAGTGCCGCTTGCGCTACAAACATCATAGTGGTTCTGTGGGATGGTGAGGTTCTCCTGCAGATATAACGGAGCTTCGACCATCACAGCAGCCAGTCCTGCATCCATATGCCACTCGATGTGACAGTGAAAGAGCCAAATGCCTTAAGGTCATGTATTAGTCAAGAAGTCTGCCTTAAAGTTGTAACATAGCTTTGTCATACCAGGGTTATCAGCTTTAAATCGGACGACAAAGTTACCCATCGGCTTAGCGATCAAAGTATCACGCCGCACGGGTACGGATGCGAAGGTGACATTGTCCGGGTTAAAATGGCCTTCGTAATCTCCACTTCTCCAGATGACCTGGAAGTTGTGCCCATGCAAGTGAAAGGGGTGTTTACCGTCATCATCATTATTGAGGACGATATCGACGATGTCACCCTTGTTTAAGACGAATGCGTTGGTGTCTGTGCCGTATATAGCGGCATCTGTCGCGGCGGATCCGGTCGTAAGCGCAGAGTACAGAACTGGAACTTTGGGCGCCACATATGAGATTCCATTGAAAAAGGCACTGGTGGGTAGCTTAGTATATTGCTTTTCGGATACTCAAAAACCCACTAAGAGAAGGAGAGGAGTAGCTTACTAGTTCGCCCCATCACCAAGGTTGTCCATGGTGAGATCCAAAGTCACAGTGATATCTGCATCACCATACCGCTCTAGTCCATCGTAAGGAACGAGCTCAAAGTCATCATAGAAGTCGAACTCAGACACCGACTTGGCTGTTGGTTTCTCAACAGCAGAATCGTACACCAACCATCCAGTAGAATTGTAGTTCAAATCCGAGGGAAGGGTGTCAAATATATCCTGGTACGTATTAGTTTATACACATTCTTTCTGTGCGGTGTCCCCTTGCATATGGTCGTGCTTACTGTATCCATGCTGCCGACCATGGCGTAATTGGCATTTGTCTCATTCTTCATCGTGACAAGAACACTATACCGCTGTGCAGAGCCTAGGTAGATCATAGACGCAGTGGCTGGCTCTGTCCAGACTCCATCCACCTCGACAATTTGCATATCATGATCCTCAATCCAGAAATATTGGCTTGCAAAAGCACCAATATTGGCTAGTCTGAATAGATAGGTCTTGCCAGGCTCAACTGGGACGGTCAGGTTCTGTGTATCATTCATCAAGGCAGACTTAGGAACCGGCTCTGCGCCAGTTGGATTGGCAACATTGATAAATTCTTTCAGAAGACCAGGCATCTCATCGTGGTACCAATCCGACAGAGTAATAACTCGCTCCTCATGATATTGGCCGATGTAGGGGTCCTCCTTATCATGAATTACCAAAGCTTGACGCCAGCCATCGGGGTACTGTCCCTTTGTGTGGGAGTGATACCAATATGTACCGGATTGATCAAGCTTGTATCGCCGTTAGTGTGTATCGGGTGCATCAAACTTGACGGGACTCACTGTGAAGTTGTACACCATTGTCTCATTCGGAGGAATGTTGCATTGAGTGGCGCCAGGCGGGCCATCCATTTCAGCCGTGCCATTTTGGAAGAAGCCATGAAAATGAACACTGGTAGATTCATTGCCAAGCTGATTTCTCACGTTGGCAATAACCCTGTCGCCCTTGGTAAAATTCAAGAGAGGCAGTGGCCATTCGCCATTGATCCCAATCACCGGGCGAGGTTGCAGTCCATCAGGGTTTGCCGTCACCCATGTTATATTCCAATCGAAGACGTGCGTCTCTGCACAGGCGATGGCGCTGATGGCCGAAAGTGACAGAAGAGAGAGGAGATTCATCCTTCTGTCCACAAAGCAGGAATCCTAACTAGTTCGCTGTTGATGAGGAAATTAAGGGATCAGTAGAGACCGAAAACTGGATTTCACATGGGCAGAGTCTTAAATAAGTCAAGGGCAACACAAGAAACATGTTTATGAACCCATAGCTGCTATCGTGTACCGCGTCCATGTAATTTCAATACATGGCAGTGGTATTACGGGATATTTCAGGGTGGAGCCCCCCTGGAGATGAAGTTGATGCACACTGTCCTACAAACGGTTATCTGATCCGAGATTTAGACCCTTGGCAACAGCTATTGTCCTCCTCATGGTTCCATCCTGAATTGCAAGAGGGAATTTGTATCACACTTAGCGGGCTGGCGGATCTCGCCGCCATGATCCACCGGAAAGAAAAGAAAAAGAGTTCTCATTACGCGTTGACCTTGTCATCCTTGACTTGCACGGGTGGAGATTCGACTTGACTGTCACAATGCTATCGGATGATTGATTGCCGGGTTAGACTCCGTCAATGGAAGCATGCGAGAGCTTCCGGAGTTGGTCTATGAAGGCCAAATTATTAGTATATAAGTCAGACGAGTCTGTTCCTCCAGGATAAACACACCTCATGAACCAAATAGGTCTTCAGACTCGAAGTCAACATGGCGAATCAAGTCTTTGCAGTCACTGGTAACTCTCATCAATACGTCTTGAGTTCTACTTTTGTATAAGACGAGCCTTACTGACCAGGAACAGTCTTTTTCATTTGCTTCCGAGAATGTCTCGAAAGTAGCATCATTGTATCGGTGCTTCTTGCCTTTCTTACCCAAACCTTGGGTGCTGAAGGAGATAAGCCAGCTCTGAAGAGATTGCGAATTCAGGTACTTCTCCTTCTTCATGTCTTTTGCACTTAGTTTTACCATGAACCGCGTTAGACAATAGCCTGCTAACATTAACAGGTATGGTGTGGAGTAGGTCTAGGTCTATTCTTGTGTCTATGCATCGGTGCAGGCATGATCGGCGCCTTTTATGGGTTGGAAAAAGATACCTTTACGAACACAGAGGATATCTGGGAAGGCATCTTTGGATTCATAGCATCCATCATCATTTCCATCATGGGGGCGGGGCTTCTGCGTGTGAACAAAATGCGCGAGAAATGGCGCGTCAAGCTCTCCCGTGCCTTGGAGAAAAAGGAAAAGTCTACGACCATGATGGGCCGTCTGAAGGACTGGTCCGAGAAATATGTCATGTTCATCTTACCATTCGTTACAGTTCTTCGTGAGGGACTGGAGGCTATTGTTTATGTCGGTGGCGTGGGACTGGGACTGCCAGCGTCTTCATTTCCCTTGGCCGTGTTTTGCGGTCTTCTGGCCGGTGTTGCAGTAGGCTATGTGATGTACCGGTAAGTCTTGTGCATTACATCCTGTCCACTCCAAACATCATAGGCTGTGTAGTATCATTTGACGGTGGCTAACAAATCTTGCTGCAGGGGTGGAAGCTCCACTTCCCTACAATACTTCCTGATTATATCTACTTGCTTCCTCTACTTGGTCGCGGCAGGCTTATTTTCCCGCGCTGTCTGGTACCTGGAGAACAATACCTGGAACCATGTCATCGGGGGAGATGCTTCGGAGACTGGCTCAGGCCCTGGATCTTACGATATTCGCCAGAGTGTCTGGCACGTCAACTGCTGTAACCCAGAGCTTGGCGGCGGTGGTGGTTGGGGTATCTTCAATGCTCTGTTTGGGTGGACTAATTCCGCTACCTATGGCTCAGTGCTATCCTACAACCTTTACTGGGTGGTGATTATTATCTCATATGTCTGTATGAGGTATAATGAGAAGCATGGCTACATTCCTGTCATAACGCCGATTGCAAGGAAGTTGAGATTTGGTCGATTCAAGAAGGGCTCTGAGGACGGCCATGACTCTGAGGTTGTCGAAGAGAGGAAAGAGGTTAACCATCTGGCCCCGCAGATTATTACCAGAACCATAAGCGAAGCATAGGATGGGAAGCTGACTAAAGCACTAGACCCGCCCAGTACCGGTGCCCGCCTAGGTTTATCCTTTTGAGATTCACTATGTATGAACCCTTCGGCCGCCCTTTACTGCGCATTATCACTGAAAGGTGGTTTGATTTGGATTCAATTGTGACACCGAGGTGAAGAACATGCTACAACAAGGCATGGACAAAAGGAACGTATGTCAACTATAATACTTTACGGTGTCTGAACATAAGCATAGATATTTATCTGGCATTATTGCGTTCCATTGGCAGAGGAACTCGAACTGTAATCGAGGACAATGAATAAACAGTAATATCCACCAAGCGTAGATCCATTAAAATTCATTATAGCCAGAACATCTTACTCAAGTCCCACAGGTACTATGAGTATCTGTATGTCTGTACAACCCCATACTTCGATCATTTAGATTCTCACCTGTACTCAGACCTTTCCCATGAGAGGATAATACAAATGCAGTATGTCAGCCCATGGAATGTAGTCAGAGTTAAATGCCAAGCTTCAAGTTGAAAGATGTGCCAATAGGACAGCCATGGGTTGCAGAGTCGTCACTTGGCTTGTGGTAAACATAGCGGCAATTGGAATCGCCCCGAAGACAGACAAAAGCGTGGGGACAGTCCTTCGAGTTTGAGGGTATAAGGATGAGGCCCTTGGCGTAGAACAGCGAGCCAGGCTTGGTGTTCACACATGACACGTCCCAGAAGATTTTTTCACCAGCTTGGGTGTACTCGAACTGAATTATATCGCCATCAGCGTTCTGGTCTGTGCTGACCTTGATGGAAATGCCACCGCCTTTGGGATTTAGACGATATGTCTCTTGGTACGAGGCACCTGGAACAACTGCGTGCATTGGACCTTGCTTGTCATCCACGGACCATAGGTAGAGAGTGGCGCCCATGTTGTTGACTATGACCACATTTCCAAGACTGGTTGCTGAGCCGTGCTCCTCGAGGGACTGAGAGGATACAACGGAGAGCAAAGCCAGGATGAAGAGAATGAAGTTGGCGAGGGAGATCATTTTGGTTTGAGGTAGGATAAGTGATGGTTTATGGTCTAGATCGAGAATGCTCTGTGATTGTTGCAAGGCAAGCATCTGAATGAGGGCTGCCCTCGTGAGAGCCTCCAGCATTTTTATATAGCATCTAGTGACCTTGATATGTGCACTATTCAGTGTATTCCCATGGACAGAGCTAGTGAATACTTACATTCAATTATCTGAACACCATCCGATTAAGCATGGCCCTCTAACAATTTAATTAAATGGCATTGAGATACATTCTCTGGGCATTAAATATGGCATCCATTCTTTGTTCGCTGGGGTCTAGATCGCATACCCACCTTTTCATTCACTTAATTGTCAACTATAGCATATTTGATATGCATTCACTTTTATCACTGCATGCTGCTATTAATGGCATCCAAAAATACTCGACAGATAGTTTATAGTAACAGTCCTCAAAGAAGTGGCATCTGAGACACAGAGTTAAAGGCAGCTTCGCTTACAATATCCTGTCTGGTACAAACGAGACTGTGGAAGGTTTCACTACAGGAATAGTATAATTCCCGTCACTTGAGTGAGAAGCAAGTGGCACTAATTATTCAACAATTTTCAGGGTGCACATAACCCCAGTTAAGGATAATACATTGACTATTCTAGAAAGGGCTAATCTGGGAGGAACAGGCAAGGAACGATGTAATGGTCCCATACGTAAAGTCTCAATTGATTCTATGTATCCATTGGCAGCTTCTAATTCACAACTGCAGAAGCAACATACTAGTGAGGTTTATGGCTTGGTCAGGAACTTGAAGGGCCGAAAGCTTAAGGTCAATATATATATGTATTCTCGTCAATTGGGGCTAGTTAGTATAAATGTCAATTTATTTCCCAACAGTCATGACGAGGGGTCAAATACATATCTTCATGTAAAGGGAGTATGATCGGTCCAGATTGACTATCTTACTCTCTAACAAGCCGAGGCTATGTGATTAAGCTTTTTTTTTTCGCGAGTTATGCGTCAGATACGATGTGGTCAGTGCGTGTAAAACTCGGAAGAAAATTCCCCTATCATTTTGGGTACAAAGTCGTGCTGCTCCATCTTCCATCTATATGTATACGGATAGTCTATCACCTCGTATATACTTATGCTGATGTCGTATGAGATTAGGGACTCGAGAAACGCGGCGCCACAGTATTGACCCGCTACCTGTCAGGCTTTTCACAGCAATTAATGCAGGACAACTCCAGTTATACCTTTGTTATTCCAGTCTTACGCGTTGGTTAGGCTGAGGCTGTGTTTGCTTTTGCCGAGTCCCAACTTCTCCCCCTTGCATCCCACCCACGTTGAAATGTTCCATTTCCGCCACGTTGACAGTGTCAGCTTCGGGACTTCACCATCCACCCGGATATATCTGCTTTGATATAATGCTTTTAAGCTGTCTAGAGATGGGTACGTCAGTTAAACGTGTGTCGCAAGTCATGGTCGGCGATGCTCAACCGCCGGCCTCAAATGAAAAGCTCTCTATGGCAAACACCGCACAAGATAACCTGGACATGCAACGACTAGGAAAGACGCAACAATTAAAGGTTAGTAATAATGACAGAGGCTATCATATCTTCCTTGTAACATGCATGCGGTAATAAACCGAACCGTCAGACTGATTCTACACCTCAGAGAAATTTTCGGTTTGTATCCATCCTCGGTTTTAACTGTACGTTAATGGCAACTTGGGAGTCAATTCTGCTCACCAGCAATTACGGTCTCATAAATGGCGGACGAGCCGGAATGGTTTACGTTTATATTGGCACTTTCATCGGCTTTTTCGCCTCTGTCGCGTCCTTAGCAGAGATCGCATCGAGAGCTCCGACGGCGGGAGGTCAGTACCACTGGGTCAGCGAATTCGCTCCTCCTTCCTGTCAAAGGTTCTTGAGTTATATCACAGGTACGGTGCGACAATTCCAGTAGGCGTGATAGACATGGTACTAACCCCTGCGTACCCTCATCAGGATGGCTCGCAGTTTTGGGCTGGCAGGCAGCGTTTGCCAGTGTATGTTTTCTCGCCGGTACCTTGATTCAGGGTTTGTTGGTCACCGTATACTCTGTCCCGACGGCAGGCTATGTATACACATCTGAAAGGTGGCATGGCACGCTTTTAGCTATTGCAATTGCGATGGTAGCAACTGCCCTCAATGGGTGGGGTACCGGCTGGCTCGCCAATCTGGAGCGTTTCTTGCTGTTCATTCATATCTTTGGATTCTTTGTGGTGTTGATCCCCTTGTGGGTTAAAGCCGACAGAGCCAGCAGCGCCGAGGTTTTCCAGACCTTTTCTAACACAGGTGGGTGGCCGAATATTGGATTGGCCTGTCTGGTCGGCCAACTGACCCCGATATTCTCTTTCACGGGGCCGGATGCAGCGACGCATATGGGTAGGTATCCTTAGCCACTCTCGTTCCAGCATCACATAACTAACTATGATCGCCTGCTAGCGGAGGAGGTCCAGGATGCTTCCAAGATTGTCCCGTGGTGTATGATCTCGACTGCTCTGATCAATGGCACACTTGGATTCGTTATGCTCATTACTTTCCTCTTCACAATGGGCGACATAGACTCGGTGCTAAAAGCTCCCAGCGGCTTTCCCTTCATCACGGCTTTTCAGAATGCGACTGGGTCATCCAATATGGCGGTAGGCCTCGCATGCATTATCTTAGTTATGGAGGTCTGCAGTGCTTTGGGCATCCTAGCGACGACCTCGCGCCAGATCTTTGCGTTTGCCCGAGACAAAGCACTTCCTTTCTCGAGCACTTTCGCCTATGTCCATCCTCAGTCGAAGACCCCTATCTGGGCTATTCTGTCTTCTACATTGGTGACCGTGCTATTGAGCCTGATCAATATTGGCTCCACGGCAGCTTTCAATGCGATTGCCTCCTTGGCGATTGCGTCTATGTTGACGACCTATATCATTGCCATTGGCTGTTTCTTTATAGCCCGCTGGCAGTCAAGAACATCGCCTAGTCCGCGCTTCTGTCTAGGCCCGTATGGCCCAGCTATCAATATGGTATCCATGGCCTTCCTTGCTTTGCAAATCGTCTTCACCTTTTTCCCAACTACCAGAGAGGTGGTGCCCAGAACGATGAACTGGTCCGTTCTAATGGTGGGTACAGTGACTCTCTTTGCCATCGTGCAGTATGTCCTGTATGCTCGGAAAGTATATCAGTCGCCTGTTAGTCGGACCATTCGAAGTGAAGAATAGTTGCCACTTTGGAATGTAATTAATACAAATAATGGGTAATAAAAACAAATAAAAAATGTCTTCAGTTTCAATTGCGAGTGGGACAGGATAAGAGAGGAGAAAAAAAAAAGAAAGAAAAAGAAAAAATAAATACGTGCATCATCCGTGAATCGAACACGGGCCTCATCGATGGCAACGATGAATTCTACCACTAGACCAATGATGCTTGTTATTGAGTAATTCCTCCATATTTGATTTTATAAGTTAATTTTAAATGAAGTAATCCAAGATACGGTCGAGCGCTATAGCTCTAGAAGGATCACCATACTACCTCAACTTTGTGGTGAGACATTTCTAGGTGTACACTACCCGAACACCAACTCATCTGTATGAAGACTCAGTTACAGTTAGGGTATTGCAGCCTGAACCAGCGCGATCTGCTTTTGGCTGCAAAGTCAAAGAACCACTACATGCACGGATATATATTCCCGCAGGTTGTATGTTTTTGTTATGGTACTAATGCCATAGATCCATATCTTACACTTCACAGAGGGATGTCAGTGACCTCAAACTAACAATGAAATCTCCACCGCGTTTCAGATACAACCACAAAATGTATTGAGATGACCGCTGTTAAACAGCCTCTCCTTTGTCGGTGTAGGCTCGCCAGCGCCGGCGCAAAGTTCCCTTCCTCGGGAGTCTGCTACAGCGACTTGTATTATGGTGTCTCCTTTACTTATCTTCCGTTATACTATGACGCGGTGAAGGAACACAAACCTGTCATTTCCGGTGCTTCCCTCTTCCCTGAGACCTTGACAGTAGCCCCACGTGTACTAGTGGTTGGATCTCTGATTATAGCCACAGCGAAACATCGATGGGCCATCTGGCTGGCATGGGCTCTAACGACTTTTAGTATGGACATCCTCTGCCTTATCAAAGTGTGCACTACAATAGCTGCATGGATATTCCGGAATACCATCACGGGAGGGATACTTTTCCTGGCACTCGGCTATGCCATTCAGGCCTCCGCCAACGCTTGGCTATTGCAGTGGGGCTGTTTAGCGTTGTTCTTGCCCTTGGCCAGACCATTGGAGCTGCCGTTGGCCGTGTTGTATTCCAGAATGATGGACTGACAAATTACAGGTCAAGAAAACATACACTGACAGCATACGCATGCATTGTTTGGGCAGTCTTCTGTGGCGTCTCAGGAATTGCTCTGGTGTTCAGTTCTTGGACTGTGAGCTATGACTTAGATTGTGCGCTAGATACAAACCAACAGCTGTGTTGGGGAAAAGCTATACCTACATAGGGGGGAGATTAGTCAACAGGATGCATGAATGTGTGACCTTATATACCATTTCCAAAATGCCAGGAATACCCCTCCATTGTGTCGTGTCAGTGCTACGATATACATGACTTGATTTGATGTAGCTTTGGCCGCTACAGACAAATAGCAGTTTATATCAACCATTGAACACGGCTAGATACTAAAACGGTCTAGATCATATATTTATACGAGATGAGCCAAGCTGATAGCGGCCTACCTATCCACTAGCCATAAAACCCTGCGCAGTATTTAAGCGGCGTGGGCCACTAGATAGAAGAGCCTTTCATTTACCCTCAACTTTGACCCTTTCGTTTTAGGCCCTTATTACTAACCAATACCGAATATTGCCTAGTTGTCCGATAATTATATTAGGAATCTCTTCTATAGCATAAGTATCAACTATTCTTATTCCTTATCCATATCAGGCATCTAATGGTTAGCCCAGTCCGGATCTAGACTGCCGCTTCCTCGCTGATCTGCTGCATATGTAGTCTAGTTGACGATAAAAGAATATTCAAAGCAGCATACGCCAAAACTCCTTCCAACAGGTTTCAATAACACTGGGACGCCCGCTTCATACTTCATTTCCGAGAATATCTGTTCCTAAAACCGCTTATACCCGGGTTTCGTCCTAGGCCAAGGCATCATGGCGCCCCTATTACATGGTACTCCTCCGCCAGAGCTCAGAATCCACAATGATGTCCCTTTATCAAAGCGTGTTGTCTCTGTTGTTGGAACGGGCGCCCATTATCCCTCATACGAGTTCCCATCTGACGAACTCGAAAAGCTAATTTCAGCAGCCCATGATCCTAACGACCCAGCGTAAGAAGTTATGCTGCTGTACTAGAGGGAACTGTGGGTACTGATTTCATATAACCAGGATACGAAAGACCTTGCACATCAATGAAAAATCAAGAATACAGTACCGCTATACTGCCGTGCCATTGGACGACCCCTACTGGAGTGGCCCAAAGCTCCCAGATGTTGCTGGCTGTGATGCCCTGTTCAGAAAATATGGTGTCCCAGTCGCAGAAGAGGCAGCGAGGAAAGCACTTGCGGACTGGAATGGTTCTTTAAACGATATCACCCACATTGTCGTAGTTACATGTACGAACACAGCCAATCCAGGGCTGGACTACATGATTTGTGAGAGGCTAGGTCTCCACAAAAATGTGCAACGTACTCTCCTTCATGGCGTTGGCTGTGCAGGTGGCGTCTCTGCTCTACGCACGGCAAATGAACTTCTTCTTGGAGCAGCATTCCAAGGAAGGCCAGGAAGAGCGCTCGTTGTTGCGTGCGAGATTTGTACAATCTTTTTCCGTTCAATGCTGGAGGATATTGTCAAAACCCAAGAGGCAAACGTTGCCATGGCCCTTTTCGGCGATGGCGCTAGTGCTATGGTGCTGAGCAATGGGATTGGCCCCGAAACCTTTGAACGAGCTCCTCTCTGGAATATTCTCAACTCTCGCACAACTCTCCTCGAGGATTCTCTTTCTAGCCTCCAGTTCAATATCCACCCCAATGGTACGCAACTGATATTCTGATTTTACCCAGAAGTGGGAGTTAGCTAACATACACACAGGGTACAATCCAGTGATCACGAAGGATGTCCCCGGACAGACTTCAGCGGCGCTTCCTTCCGGCTTTCACGACCTTATAGCGTCTACCCCTTCATTATGTTCTGACAAATCTAATTTTGATCCTTCTTCCTATGACTGGGCCTTACATCCGGGAGGTTACAGTATCGCGGTTCTTGCACAGAGCGCCCTGGGTATTACGGAACACCACCTGCGAAAGACCTATGATGTTTACCGCTTGAGGGGAAACACCAGCTCGAGCACTGTCATCAGCGTTATTAACGAGCTTGCCAAGGAACAAGACACCCCAGAATCTGGACGGGGCAAAGTGATTGTCGCTGCCTTCGGACCCGGTATTACCATGGAGATGGCGGTCATGGCGCGGCCGGCCTAGATAGGAGTTTGAGTTGAGCATGGCATCTTAAGTGTTTTGATCAGGCAGGATATGTGGATGTTGGGATATTCTTCTCCTAACCCACGCTAGGCTAGGGAAGACTGCGTCTTCTGACATTCTACAAGTAGACTCCAGCGAGTAGACCCAGCGCGGCGAAGAACACAGTCCTCATTTCCAGACTTTGGTAAAGCAAAGATTGGGATCTAGCAGGTAATCCGGCACAAAATTCAGCCGACAAGCGTCATGTCCATCTCAAAGCATTGCAAAGTGTGCGAGAACTCTCGTAGCATAAACAGCCTTTTTATAAAAGGAGACTTGGTGACGTAGTTGCAGAGCCGAAATCGAGGACTTAAGAGTTGCGCCTTGCCATATATATCTCCTGAAGTCTACTAAGTTCCGGACTTTCTGGATTCAGGGATATAATCTATGCGCAATATTCGGATAATCAGGATTTAGTGATGATCAGAACTTGTGCACCCTATCCTATTCTATTGCATATATATGTAAGCAATTTGAAAAGGCACTCTGAACAATCAATAGTGTGATACTATGTGATATGTTGGCAGTTTCCACACTGAAGCCATTAAAAAAATGAATTACTGTCAAGCAGAATGATTCTAGAAGGCTTGATAACTTGAAAAGTCAATTTCAATTATAAACGGCCAAACATGCATGGTAACTGATCCTACGTCGACAATGCAAGAATAGCCATCCCATCAAGGCACGGCAGACCAATTTGCAGTCACATCTTGCATCCAAACCTTGTATACAGGAGAGCAGTATACACAATTTTTTCAAGTTGCGTTACAGATTTGGAGTCAATTGAAAACCCACATGGTGTAGCGAATCAGACACCATGACAGCAATGTAACAGAGGTTTTATAGGCCCAACCACCCTTTGAAGTATGCCCTACCGATATGGGAAGAATAAGTTGATCGTACATCATGGTACCTAACCACGCTGCTATCAGCCCTGCAAAGGGATGATAGGCCTCCGTGAAATGGTGGCTTCACAGACTATCGACCGGATCGAATTGAATTATTGTAATACAATTCCTCTCGAATCTGATGACTGGAGTTGAATCTCGGTCAATTGAGATATGGAGATCATCTTGCTGATAGTTGTCAGGTCGTGATGACCATTCGATATGCTTTGTTCAATTCCATTGTATAGCACGGGCAATGTAGATGCCTTCCACACGCCAACCCCTTCGAGCTGACTGGCCCATACTGTTGCTATATAGAATGCCACGCCAGCAGTAATAACCAACGTGGGGAAAATACTCCACAACCAATTAAAGTATATATGGTCTTCAGTAATGAACACGGTGCCGTGTACAGTGTCAGTGCTATTATCAAGAATATCTTTGGTTAAAGATGCAGCAACGTTTTTTGTCGCTTCTTCAAGGCCAAGCTCTAGTATCCTGGAGGTAGTGAGACTGATTTCCTGCTCAAGGTAAATAACCTGTCTAGCGGCCTTGAATGTCCATTTCGATTCTGTGGAGTCCTGCAACCCTCTCCAGTAAGTGGCCCTAGAGAAAATATTCATAAAGCCTTGACACAAAGGAAGATATCTCGATTTGAGATCAAAGAGACCGTAACAGATCGAGTAGTTCGAACCATTAGTAGGGTTACGGAGGTAAACCTCTTGGGTCGATGTTCTGCTCAAGGCTCGCTCTGGTGTCCAGCACCTGAGTTCATAATCATCATCAGCTTGAAGATCCACGAAGACGCGGCCCCAGTCTGGCTTGGTGAGGGTAACTGTAGGAGTACCGTGTGAAACAGTAATGTTGTAGTTCCTATATGATATGGCGCATTTGGTTACATGTTTAATTTTTAGCTTTGTTTCAGGGTAGTGGATGGTGTCGTTGATTCCCGTGTCGACACCCAATTCAGATGGTTTGAATACAGCGTAGTTGCCGCCTTTCGGTCTTCAATAACACCCATTTCCATTGCCCAATCGACTGGCTCACCACATAAAGAAGAGAGCATTTGGATGCTGTCCCTAACACTGAAACAGCGGCGTTCAGTGTCACCCAGCGCGAGAAAACCGGTACTGGCTTCCCGTTAAACGCTCTGACTATAGCAACAATAGCAACAAAACAGGCAACGCTAAAGATCATTGCGGCTGTTTCAGGAAACCACGAGTCAGTCAGGAGTGCGTTCCAGGTATATATAAGCTGCTGGAACTTGTTCCGCTGCAAGCTCTGCTCCTCAGGCAGCAATCGAGCAGTCGAATCTGGGTTTTCCACCTCTGACACGTGCTGACTTGGGTTTGGATCCATCAGTTCCTCAATAAGTGGTTCTCGTAGTTCTGCAAGTGATGAGCGGGGAATTTAAAAGTGCGCCGGACTATGGATCTAGCTACGGTGCAAGTCATTCCTCTTATTTGAGCCCCCAATATGACGAAGTTTGGAACTATGTCACACTTGTCCAACACTCGCGTTCGAGGAATTATCTGCTCTCGAGCCTTGCAGTATATCACACAGCATCTCTCAGTCCAGTAAGGGGGACTTATATAACAGTGTGCCCTATTTCCGCCAAGCAACCTGGCACTCACTAACAAACCCCACCAACGATATTTATAGCCAGTATTACCGTGCCATTGCGGCTGATGGACTCTAACCTAAACTGTTCAATGAAAACGGAATAATCTGACTGACCGACAAACGACATAGAAATGGTGAATGCACTAGCCATATCCCCCGAGACACACGTGCAACCCTCTACGTTCAGCGGCAAGCATCATGTGTGTTAAGCGTGCCTTGATGGTGGACGGAGCTGGAGACGTAATTCGTTCGTGACCTGGTAGATCCCTTGTCACTTAATTTCATCTCGTGCCCCGGTTGGCTAATATAAGTTGGTGTCCATAAGACCCTGGCTAGCCCTACCCTGGTAACCTGGAGGTGTGTCTACTGGTTGAAAACAGCATGGTGGTATCCTCCCATGTCGGATTAGGTTATGCCTCGCTACCTATGATGACCATTGGCTGTGATGGAAATCGTCGCTCTGACCAGGGCCCTGTCATAGGGAAAGCTGGTTTTATCAAAAAAGAACAGCCTGTTTACCTAGGGAATAACGAAACCAACCAACATCGAGTCTGGGAGCTGTACGTTGGGCACAATCTCAAGTACAATAAAGGGAAATGGCATCATTCCGTGCCCTAGTATAACAAACCACGCCCCTAGAGTGTCTGAACCGCCTGTGTCACCGAGGTACCTCAAAGACCGCTCTGGACCAGTTACTTGTCACATCCTCAAAAGATTCTGTACGCCAATGTCTCTGGCTAGAATATGTTTAACAACATTAGGATGGCCAGTTATTGAACCGGCCTTTGGTACATGTAGTTGTTCTAATCTGTATAATTCTCGTTTAATATGGGTCGCTCCCACATACTCGGTATGCCAGAATAGACTATTACCAACAACACGGGGTCATGTACATCTAGTGCAGAATGAGATACTTGGCGTAAGTATCACAGTTTGAAGTTTTGCCTGGAGCCTATGGGTGGAGTTTCCCTGACAATGTCCACGCTAAGGCCCTCCGACATTGTGTATCCAACTCTGTCACAGGTAAGAGTTTGGTATTTGACTGGCACAAACGAATGTAGTCCTGGAATATGGACGACAAATATGTGACCTATACCCTGATATCAAGGACCATTGGTGGGCTTGAACTGCCATAGAACTGTGACTGACCAAATATCCACCGCATTCATCTGGAGCCATAACGCGGATTGGAGTTTTAATCTGAAATGGCAGTACCAAGGTTTGCCTCTGCTTCTCAGCATTCCATCTGGAGATGGAAGGCCTCACAAGAGGAAGATTCGGATCCCCCTGGCCCCATTAATAGGGGATAAAATGCCGACCAGGCCCAATTCACCGATCATCGAGAGATCTCTACTACTGAGACCCACCTGTCGGTGCTGCTAGCAATACTCGTTTGATGAACTAAGCTGAAGGAGTACTCCGATGTGCTCCTAGATATTATCATTTATTTTGGGGCCGAAAAGCTTCTTTGGGCCCTTTCTTTGACACCGGCGAGTGGGGTCCTAAACATGATGTGGGGCTCAGTCAGTATTGCCAGGATTGCTGGCTGAGATGGATCGCTCCTTTTCCATCGATTATCGAAGTCTGAAGACTGGCTGGTCCGGTTGGCCCAGTGCAGAGGGCGCTGGATATCTAGAGACGAAGGTTGGTTGGAGACAGAAACCCCAACGGGCTCGATGTAGAGTGTAGTATAATATACAATATCCGGCGTATGCTGACTACGATTCCTAGGGCTCTTTTTCTATCACCGTCTTTTCTTTATCTCTCCATAGAAAAGCATGGTAATCTACCTCACGTCAAGCACGCACGTCATGATTGGTGGAATGCAGTGGACTTTCCAATCACCAAGGCTATACATAGCACATCTGACACATCGTCAATCTTTTGCTCATTAACTAAAATGCAGGGGTCTTCTTAAACTCATTCTGATAGGGTTCAATTGACCATTTATTCTCGACGGCGGCGCTTGCGCGGATTAGCCCGCAGGCCGGAGGCTTGGCTATCCCCTTAGCAGCAAACGATCACCAATCATCCGAGCCCTAGACTGACACCGAGTCTCGACTAAGCCAGTCTTCAACAACACTAATGCAGTCACCCTGCAGGCGCTGGTTTTGGGCGGTTATTCCCAAACAGACCGCACGATTACGCCTAGAAGCCGACAAGACTCAAAGCGCCTAAGCATTCAATCCCTCTCTCGCCGATCCTCCACGCGAGCTATCTTCCTTCTCACTCTCTCCCCCCTCCTATGAGCCACCATGAACGGTCGCAGGCTCCCCAGCGCATTTTTGCGCATTTGTCTAATCATTCTACTATACGGACTAGAGAGAGTTGTCGCACAGGGAGATGGGACAAGTAATAACAGATTTGTCAATCCACCGGCCGCAAATTCAGCTGAAAATCCCGTCTGGGTCCTGGGGGAGCAGCAAGTGGTCTCCTGGATGACAACCTGGACTACGTTCAACATCTCTCTTTGGCATCAGTCGCTTGGTAAGGAAATGGCAGCTAGTTTGGGTAATATCTATAGTGAGTGTTCCCATCTTGCTGTTCATAGTTATCCTTGCATGGGGGCTGAATGGCACTGACGTGATGACGAAATATGAAGCTCAGGTTGAAGATATTGGGGTCACAAATTTCACCTGGAAGGTACAAACGTACGGCGCCAGCATTGAAGACTCGCCGATCTTCTTTTTCTGGATCAACGCCAATCCGACCAGTCCAGGCTTCAGACTTACATCGAATTATTTTAATATAACCGACAAACCGCGTACCTCGAGCACCTCGACTTCGTATACAGCAACCTCTACGTCCGAACTGAAGTCAACAAGCTCGTCGACAACAAGCACCACATCGTCTGCTCCGACTGAGACCTCGCCTACCGAGACTCCCCAAGCATCGTCGTCCTCTCAATCTGGCCTCGATCCATCTGCTAAAGTAGGACTTGGCGTTGGTGTGGGCATCGGGGTTCCAGCGATTGCACTGCTTGCGGTGCTTACCTGGCTTAAATATCGCCAGTCCCAGTCACGAAAGAGGTCGATACCAGTGGCAGAAACGACATTTGCGCAGATTCCACCATGGACCCAGCCTCCACCCCCACAAACACCGAAAGAACTACCTGGAACCCAGGCCACCGAGTGGGTTTCGGAATTACCGGACCGTGCATACCACTAGCCAGCCCATTGACTTGTCTTAAATATACCAGCAATATTCAATGATTCATGACTCTTGTGTGTTAGGTTTCCACCTGACATGCCTTATTGCAGTGATACTCTTCTATCAAAATACTTGTACATACATCTTTTGTATTTTATACGGATCCGTATAGCATAATAGTATATACCAACTGAGCTACTGACTTACTGCCCACCACAGTTCTTTCATAAGGTTTCCTGTACCATTCCGCAGCCATCGCAAGCGCTAATCACTGATCAACCGCGGCTATTCTTCTCGCTAAGGTCACAAGTTCTTCCAAGCTCATTAACATACATAAGAACCACGCTGTAGCACGCGAACGTGGCATCCATGCCCATTATACATTTTGGAAATCGTCATTCCCTGTACCCGATTACAAAAATCCTTGCGTATCCCTATGTATGACCAGTCGTCCCTTGCAGCTCGGCCAGTACCCGCGGATCTTGGGAGTCCAGCTCCTGCGGTGGCAGATGCTTCTGGCCGTGCGGAAAGGATCCCTGTGCCTCATAACGCACTGGTAGAGGAGGATGTTGCGGTGGCACCGCTTGCTTAGCCTTCCGTCGTCGCATAAACAGGAACCCTCCCAGCAACCCCAGCAAAGCGACTCCACCACCAACGCCGACACCAACTCCTATCCCGATTGTTTTCGACTTTGAATTCGACGAGTCCCCTCCAGAGCTATCATCGGATGCAGTTTGTGTGGGGCTCGAGGTTGTCGATGCCGAGGTTGTTGTCGGGGCTGAGGTCGTGGTTGTTGCGTGCACCGTTGTTGATGGCACCACTCCGGCCGTTGCAGTCACCGTGGGCTCGTCCAGGGAAAATTGGGAGAAGGACTTATTGGTGCAGCAGTCGTCCGCGGAGCAGCAGTAATTGTTTGTGGTATTGCCACATCGCATGACCCATTCTCCGCCGCTGACGCTTTCTGTTGGAAAAGTTAGTTTATATCAGTATCTGTCCATTGTGTTCATTGGGCGACTAGCTCGATGACTTACCAGCTACACATCGACCTGGACATAATGACGATGACCAGGATTTGTCCGTGCAGGTTCCGCGGATGAATTGTAGGGGGTTCCCGTCCGTTCCATCCCACCAGCCTGGGGTTGGCAGAGCAGGTTTGATGTGCAGATAAATCCTTCCTGACAGCAGACGCTGACCGAGGCCGTTACATTACAAGGTACATCATTCGAGATTGTGCCGTCGGGTGTGTAGCAGAGCGTAGCCGAGGTGATTTTGACTGCTTGCAGGAGAAGAAGATACGCCGTGGTCTTCAGCAGACCCGGGGATCCGGTGCGCGGTGGATTCCAAGAGTGTAGCAGCATCATGATTCATGGCCTGGCCGGTATGAGGGTATCTCGAGACATTTCAGGGGAGAAGTTTCCAAGTGGCGGTGGGGGCCATTTGGGAAAACAAATTACAAGCCAGCAGTGCTAACCTGAATCCTCGCTGGACCCTCAATCCACCAACGGCGCTAAGATGGTGCTTTTCCACCACTAGCTTGATCATCGGTCTTCCGACGGGCAAGGCTAATTCCGCACCGGCACTACATGCATTTAACTGCGTCCCTAGCACGGATCCCTTATCCCAATGTAGTCATTTTGACAACGACCATAAAACTCCCTCATCTATACACTCTAACATTACATTAACTGGTCGTCTCCTGAACCTCCCCCAAAACCACCGCCTTGAGCTTCGTCGGATCCAAAAACGTCTCCTCATCAGCATCCACCAATTCCTTCGTCCCGGGCTCCTGTCTCCGCGCAAAGAAGACCTTAAACGCCGCCTCATCCCTAAACGTCAACTCCACAACCGCATCGAAGGCGAAATCCTCCTGGGCGCCCATCAGCACCGCCGCCGGGAAACTGTTGTCTTCGCCGGGTGCCGGGCGTGCAAGATAGAGACGTCTGTGGGCGAGAGGGAAGTCTGCGCCTGCCAGCTTTTGGATGAGTGGCACGTGCACTGTTTCGTAGTGGGCTTGGAATTCGGCGGGGGTGGTGCCGCTTTTGCGGGTTACGTATAGGAGAGCTTGGAAGACCATTTTGCTGGGTGGGTTTCTGCTTGTTTTTTTTTTCCGATTGGGGAGGCGTTGCAGTTGCGTTGGAGTAGGGTTAGTATAGTGAAAGTGAGTATGAATGGGATATGAAGCTCATGGGGATGATCATGGAGGGGTATTTATAATATAATATACATAAGTCCAGCCTCGGCCAGGCAAGTGGGGGCGGAGTTGCTAGCATGATTCATAGACGAACTGGCCAATCCGGCATCGCTTGGTATTCTATATGGACACACGTTATTCCAACGGGCTGCTAAGTGTCTTTGCTTGGGTTCGACGGTTTAGGGTTTGGGAGGTCACTGTCTTTTTGGACGGCAGATGACGTACTGCCCTACTCTCGTCATCCCTTAGCCACGTGGGCAAAGGTCTTATCGGATGGAGACAGTTACTTGCCATACAATTAATTATTATATACTAAACATGATCAAAGTTGCATCATATCTCCTATAACCAGCCAAAGACAATAGTCCTCATGTATATACAGCTACGACCTCAAGGCGGCTCGGGCCTGCGCCATCTCTTCTTCTGACGGAAGGTTGACGATCATCATGTACAGAACGTTCTAAATGCCGGTATTAGCAATAGTACGTAGGAGCTGATGCCCAAGAACTCACACTCTTCAGGAATTTCTGGATACCGCCAATGGGCCCCCCTCGGTTTTGCAGCCGCTCACGTGGGTTACGGGAACTCACTCGCCCGCTAGATCGTCTGCGATATTCTTCATCGTGTGGCCCTTCCCCAAGATCTCGGTGAGGCTCAGCCGACGAGCGCCCAGCTCTAATAGAGCGTACAGTAGCCGCTAGAGCTCCCACTGGCCCAATGGGACGCTCTCGTATACCCCGTGGTTCATATTCCTGGCCTCGGCCTAACCTGTCTCGTCGCTGACCGCCCCGAAGGTCTCTAAGTTGGCCCCCGGTAATATATCCGCCAGTGATCAGTCCAAGAGCCGATCCACTACTCGCTGGGTGACTGGGATCGGCGTAGCGGGAAGTGAATTGGGGCTTTGGTGCCTTATTCAGAGAGTTGTCGGGATGTTCCATTTCCTGGTGCTATTGTCAGAGCGCGTTGTAGATTGTCATGGGATGAACCTACGAATTGAGCCTGTGACCTCCGATCAAGATAATCGGCTACAAATTCTCGGCGTGACGACTTGGCATTCTTTATTTTGGCCACGCCATCAACACCCTGTGTGGCTAACTCGTCAAGATCTGGGAAGATGAGGGGGGCGGTTTCTGGGAATGGCATATCTCCGTAAGTGTTGCCGTGCGAGGACTTGAACATATGTTTCACCCTATTGAATGTCCCTGACCCACCACGGTCAAGTGACGTGACAACTGTTGAGTTCAGATCAAAGCTGGTGACTGTCGACGAGGACTCTGGCTTCCATGTCATAAGGAGACAATAGAGACCACGAGGGCGGAACACCTCTTCATTGATCTTGTCAAAATATGAATTCGTTCTGTACTCAGTTAGCGATATCCCCTTGTGCAAAGCCAATGTAATCGAGAGAAGACATACTTTCTTCTTGCGTCCATTGCTATCGCAACATCAGTGGTCAGCTGGATTGCAATACTAACCGCTATTCCAATCGCACTAGGCAAAAACATAGTGCCAATTCCTGCCAGGTTGATGGCGTGTAACCACGGAGTCGCCTGACAGGCACGATTGGACGTTTCCAAGAAATCAAGAAACATAGCTTGGTCAATGCCGAAGTCTTCCAGTGCAGGTGCATACGCTCTGATGAACCCTCGCTTCCGCGATTTAGGCCGTCGCTGCGGAAGAACCACCGGATACGGGAGTCTTGGGTTGGACGTCGGCGTATATGGTGGTGGCTGTGGATAGGCTTGTAGAAACGACTCGGCCAGTTGCTCTGGGGTTTGATTTGTGGCGGCTTTGTTTGTCTCCGAAGTGCTATTTAATTCCTCCTGTAATTCGTCAAGTTCCCAGTCTTCTTCGTGTTGCTCCTCGACTACCCTTTCGTGGCGAGCGAATTCGTCGTCGGTTGTCGTTACATTGGCATTATCGGTCTCTGATCCATCAGAGCTTTGAGCCTTCTTCTCGCGTCTGTTGGCCTTGTATGCTGTAATACTTTCGGATGCTAGACCAATTCCGGCTGCGACACCTTTGATAGCCTTTCCGCGAAGCATGATGTTGCTGTCCTATAGAAATAAATGAGTCACAGATACGATACGCTTTTTCAATGTAAATCAAGAAGGGGGATTAGAACAGAGAAACCACAGCTGTCCTACAGACTTTATACCTCATTTCCCTCTTCGATATCTCGTAGTTTACCGAATGAGGAAACCAATTCGTCAGGGGCGCAACGGACGGTCATTGGGCTGAATCCAACATAAGCCTCGTTCTTCAATTTTAGCGTGCGGGTCTCGGGGGCTGTGCCGGCCTTGTGGATCCTAAGCGCTAATCTGCATTTGGCATACACTTCGGTTCTGGCCATCAGCCATGAAGGTGTGCCCCTCGACCTTGAGGGTTGCTGAGGCTGAGACGTTTAGCGTTGGCCAAGCAGTGCTTGGTTATGAAGTATGGCGTGTGTGACACTTTCGATGTACGCATGGAGTATCACTTGCGATTTTCTGGGGAGCATTTCTATTTCGCCCAGTTTGACATTATTAAACGTGAGTCTTTCCTATGTACACTGTGCCTGAAATGTAAGGGTCATAAATCTTCCTCGACCCTCATCGGTATCTATATCTATACTGCATATACCACGTCATGCAGTGTTGGGTTGAAAGCGCGCTCTAAGAAGCCACATGTTCCGGAACAGGCTTCGGTTGATACTGAGAGAAATTCTCCGGCCAAAGGAACATCTTTTCTTCTTTCGACGGGGTCGCGGCGACAAACTTGGGTACCTGCAGTCGGACGGTCAGTGAATGCTCCAAATCATCGATATCATCGGGAAGTTGCAACGTACTGCTTGCTTGCTGGAGATCCGTCTCCACATGTTCGCGCGGGGGTTAAACCGAGCCGGTTTACCCACACCGCCAGTCTTCTCCTGATCCTCCTTCATAATCTTCTCTACCTCTTTTTTCACGTCGGTGAAGCTATCGAAGCCGATGTAGGGAATCTGGTGCTCAATGCAATACTCCTCCAACCGGAGTCCCTTCCGGGCAAATAGCACATCAGCTTCCCGGGCGGCCGCCAGGTCGGAGACTCCGTCGCCGATGAAAATAATGAGGGGGATCTCGTTCTCATCGCTCAATTCTTCGGCCTGCGCACGACCCTCTTTCACGGAAAGGGCCTTGTCGTGGCCGAGTTCGGTTTGGTGTCGCCAGATCGGCTTCCATGCCGAGCCATCGGGGTTGATCTGTGCGTCATTTGCGACAATGTCGATTCGTGATGACTGCGAGAATATTAACATTCACAGCTCAAGAAGTTGACAGCGATCGGGTGCCATACTTCATCCTCGCCTAAGAAAGTATCCAGCACTTTCCGCAAGATGGGCTTCAATCCAGCACTAATGACATTGAAAATAATCCCGTTGTCAATGCAGAATTGGTGAAACTCCTTAAAGCCCTGGTCAATCTCCAGCTCCTTTTTCATCACTTCAAACCCATCCTCAAACGGAACCCGCAACGACCCCCACATCTCCTCGGAGACTTCCCGGAATGATCGCTCACCGGACTTGATCTGCTCGTCGAGTACCTGACGGCGCTTCTCGCCACACCCCAGGTTATCGAAGAGGACATGGCCCGTGTCTTGCATGAAAATCGTGCCGTCAAAGTCTAAAGGGGATTAGCGCACGCCATGGCACATGGGGTAAAGGATTCCTATACCTGAGAAACAGACAATCTTTCGCGTTGGGTTGGTCATGGTGACTTGCGCTTGATTCAAGAAGGACTCCAATGATGATGGGTGAATTGCGACAATTGGTGGAACCAGGGCCGGCTGAAATGCCTGCAATAAGTAGTAGTTTGCTTCATAGCCGTGGCGACCCCAAACCGGATTACAGAATCCAATCTAGACCATGACGTAGAGGATACTTGTGAGAGTGGACTCGGTTCCTGCGACATCGTCAATGGCCTATAATGTTGCTGTCTCTGCCGGATTTTGTGGACCTGCTGGGACGTGGGCCTTGCTCGGCTATGAGAATTTTCTGGATTAATATTGGTCCGGGTCGATAAGCCCCATGATCAGCCACGGTGGCTAGTGGATGATGCAATGATGTCATGGCAGCTAAGATCAGGTAAGAATTTGGAACGGATTCTAGTCTAATCTAATACCTAGTAATCTACTCCCTAGTATAACTTATTGTTTTGCATCTTGTGCGATCTGGTTGTTCATAAGGGTTCTCAGGAGACCTTGGCAGTCTTCCCGACCCATGTGAACCTCAACAATTCTAAGCCCATTGCCTTTCTGGATCCGGTCCGAGTGCAGCACTTCTTCTAATTCCCCAAAGGTTCTTGCGCTGAAAGTGTTCTTCGCGGCGTCTTCTTCACTGCCGCCAAAGAAGCTAAGTGCTTGCAGATGTCTCCAAGGGGCAATATCGTTGTATGACTGGTTCCGGCCATGGATTGCCCGTTCGATAGTATACCCGGCGTTATTAATAACAAAAATGGTGACATCAAGTTTCTCTCGAATGATCGAGCTTATCTCCTGCACTGTCATCTGTAGACTGCCGTCTCCGATAAATAGGAACAGTCGACCTTTGCCAGTACCAGCACCGTTGGAAGGTTTAAAATTGTTCGTTTCTTGCTGCGCCAGAGCAGCACCGAAACAGGCAGGAAGCATGTACCCGATCGACAGCCATGTCACTGCACAAAACATACGTGTATTAGGGGGAAGAGTAAATGTGCGTCCACCATAAGAGGCTGTCCCTGTTTCCGTAGCCACGATATCTCCCTCGCGGAAGAGTCGGTCGACAAAACGGTAGAAATCATCTTGTGTGATGAGATCAGACTTGTTGATATGACTTAGGTCTCCCTTGGGCTTAGGGGGTGCTCCATTGATTTTCGGAATGCGACTATGATCTAGACTTTCCAACAACTGAGTGAGGAACTGTTTGATTGAGAAGTCTCTGTGGAGATCTTTTCCAATTTGAATGGTGGACCCCGAGAAGGAGATAGATACTTCTTGTCTGGGGATTGTGGCAAAGCCTAGCGTATTAGTGTTGCTGTAGTGAGGCCCGAGCACAAGGACTAAATCGGCCGAGTCAAAGTATGCTTTCTCTTGCTCGGCGCCGTAGTTTCCACCGTAGAAACCGTAGACATTATCTAATTGCTCATTAACCAGACCTTTTCCATAGGCGGATGTCCACGTCGGCCAATGGGTAGTTTTAATTAGTTCATCAACCTGGGGGAGGATATTCAGAGCCCTGCTTTCTCCATCCACAAATATCATTGGGCGCTTAGCAGAGTAAATGCGCTCCAGCACGGTTGTAAAAATTGAAGTCTCGTGCTTGTGACTCGGGGTAGCAGGTAATCCGATCTTTTTTGTTTCGAGACTTGACGCCGGGATCATGACGTCAACCATATCATCCGGAACTTGGATGTAGACCGGTCGGCTATGGACCAGGCACTGCTGTAATGCCCAATCGATCTGTTCTGTCGCTGTGCGAGGGTCAATGAGGTTCGCTTGAGCAACCGTGACTTGGGCGTGCATTGCCGCAAATCGGTTGTATTCTCCATCGGCGAAGGTATGGTGGACTAAGGTGCGGGCATCCTGCAACGCACGCGATGGCGTGCCGACAATATGAATGACAGGAGCCTTTTCCGCATAGGCGCCTGCGATTCCGTTGATGGCGGAGAGCTCACCGACACCAAACGTGGTGATCAAGGCCCCCAAGCCGTTGATCCTAGCATATCCATCCGCCGCGTATGCACCGTTCAGCTCGTTGCAGGTTCCAACCCAGTGCAACCCAGATGGCTCCACAAAATCCAGTAGTCTGAGGTTGTAGTCCCCCGGAACCCCAAAAATAGACTGGATGCCGAGCTGGCAGAGTCGGGCGAACAGATAGTCCGCAACCTTTATTGTTCCCTTGGAGGTCGAACTTTGAGTCATTGTAGCGCTATATTGCTGGGGTAATCGAGTCGGTAACTGTATATCAAGGGGATGATCGAGGAAAAGTAAAGATCCGCAAGATGATAACGAGGTTCTGTAAGGTTTATATATGCTTATCTTGGTTTGCGGGGATGAGATCCATTTTACTTAATCGGTATTCATGTCCGCCCCCAGCCGGCCGTAAGCGGCTGTTCTCGGCGAAAGGGTCCAGTCAGATCCTATCACATGACACCATACCTAGATAGTGACTTGTTGCCAACGCCGCAATTGCATCCTGCCTCCAGCCTAGCACTAGTAGTAACTTGTCAACATGCGATCGATCCATGATTGGCGGCGATCATGTCGCTTGAAATGGTGCGTAGCTCTCGGGTCTTTTTCCTGAATACCTAGCCATTTACAACTACAGCCGGTGTTCTGTCACTCACGGGATCCACCTCTCAATTATATACTTCACTCAGATGTATAGAAAATAGCAAAAGAGTTCATGTGAACAAAATTGTACCATGTCTGCTCAGATCAACTGATCCTTATTTCAACACTTGGCAACCATAGTCCAGTATGGTCCCGCCTTGCCGATACTCACAATATGTATCACGTACAAACGTGTGTAACATCCATTGGTTGTGATTTCAAGAGCATTTGGGGAATGGAGGCGAGGACGCATCAACACCATCCGCATAGGTAACCTGCTTTCCCGGATGCGCAAACACCGTGTGCTTTCCTTCCACCGTAGAACAGCCATTTCCAACATTGGCCACAAATATATCCGGATAATTGTTTCCAAACGATTCCCTGCTGCCGCTCCCTCCGCTGATCTCAACATTGGCGCAATTCATGTACATTTCCCGATTTCCCACCAGGTTAAACCAGGACCAAGCAAACAGAGCACGGCCGTTGACAACGTCGCTCGGTATCTCGAAGTCGTACTTGAGCTCGAGCGGGCATCCTCCCACCATGGACTTGATGACTTTAAAGGTCTTTCCTTCGTCGTAACTTAGAGACAGCTGGCAGGATCCACCACTGTGTGTCGCGGCGCCGGCCACCGTCATGTTATATGACTCGCCAGCCTGGTATTCCGCGGTTGCGCGCCAGGGAGTGTTCTTGTGATAGCCCTTGCAAGGAAAATTGGAACCTAGGTTATGTAAACATTCCACTCTTATATATAGGGAAGTTAGAGGAACGCCGTACCGGACTGGTCGAGAGGGTTTGACATGTCATAGTCCTTGTCGGACCCTTTGTTTTGAGGGTCAAGTGGACTGCGCATGGGATAAGGCCAGCTCATTTGCATGTGTGCTGCTGCGAGGCCGCAGGACAGCAGAACGCTAAGAATGGAGTTGAACTGCATGGTTGTTCTTCGAAGGTTGTTATACACGATGGTAATAGCTGCGGTTGTGCGATGATGATGATGATGATGATGATGATGATGATGATGATGCTGCTGCTGTCTCTTCTGACTCGATGGCCGTCCTGCAGCTCAGATTTATACCTTTCGTTTCCCGGTGAGCTTTCGCCCAGCTGGATGTATCGTGAAGTGCTAACGGCGCCATATGGGCCTGTCATGTTGCATTCAGTTGGAGTTACATGGCTTGGTTTCGGCATTCCCTTCCATGAGGATGCAGTCACTGCCATGATCTGAGTTATCAGAACATCCAAGTGGGTGTGCAGTCTACTGTGACAGAATCAGCTGGGGCCCGATCGCCCTTGAATCATACTCAGGCCACACGTCCCCCACTTAGCGCCGATGTGGATCTAGGATGAATGGAATATCATTGCTATAGAGTACCAATAACGGAAAAATTTTGTCGGTGATCCTCACTTTTTTGGCTAGGCGTTTCATTAACTAACTACCGTCCTCCGACGGTGCACAGCGTGAAACTCTCAGTTAATCTACCTTGCCTAACATTATTCACACCCATCGAGGGTACATGGTGTAAGTAACGGTGACAATTCAGCAAATTGAAGCCATCTAGAAAGAGCAGTGATATGCCTTCTCATGGCCATTATCTCCGGTATATACTTTGACTTGTGATGAACAATGCAGCGAAGCGCTCGTTACAGAACCAATCCGGCTTGCGAGAAGAGAAGGCTAGTAAAGTCTAGATATCGGCAATTCGCGGGGTCCTGCAGATTTCATCGGTCTCAGAGCCAATGAATGGTTGTATCGTATTAGCTCCCTGTAGCCATTAGGTCATACAATATTATTGTTGGGGCTTTAGTTGTGCTTGGCAGTGGTGATTAATCTTAATTGAATGGCCGGGAGATTAATGAAGGCCGAGGACCTGTTCCTGATTGTACCACAGTGCCATTATAATGTTACACTACCAGAATTGTTAGCTATTGCATGATAGACCATAGGTGTCTTTTGATCTTCGTCCTGTACCTTTGTGCCTTTGAAAGATTAGCGTGGGGTGAGAGACATGGTGCAACCGTGAAACCCTCCTTCTCAAAGCATGAAATATAGTTCTAGAATTCATTAGAACAAAAGCAAATTGAATAGGATAATCTGGCGGTAGTGGCTGTCCCCGGCCGATGGTTCTGTCTGTTCCCCCAAGGCTGTAGTAGCGGTCTACTCCGCACCGTAATTTGGAATATTGGAGATTTGGCGATTCGACCAATGTTAATCATGTGTTTGAAAGAATTCCCGTACTGCAAATTGAGAGCTTCCAGGTGTTTTGCCGTAAGTAGGTAAAAGTTTGACATTTGGCACCATTACCAAGCATATTTGAAGACAAAGAGTAAAGGAGCGAATCATGGTGACAAGAAGCGACTAGTCCTGAATTGGCCAGCATCAGCTTTAGTCAGCACAGAGCGGTCGTTGATCACGGGACCTCTCTTCGGAATGCTTGGATATACTCCTTGAAATGAATAACATCACATCGACATTATCTGATCAATCTATGTCTACTGTCCTCCTACAAACGGTAACAGCTTATTAATTTCAGAAGTGACATATTCTCATTATCTCTATCATTGAATCCAGACACGACTATAGCGGCTTCCTGCCTCCTTGTTAACTGGGTCTCGCGCAATCTTGACCGAAGCCAAGGCAACGAAATCATATCCCTTGCATAGCTGGAATGAAATATCTCCGGGATAGACACTTCTAGTGGCAAGCCTTCCAGGTTTATCCTGAACTCAGATATGCAAAATGATCTTCATATGGAAATGTGCTACATTTCAAGATCGATTCAGCCTTGATGGGGAAAATTGAGCAGAAAGGAACTTAACTATGCGGCACATGTTTAATATCACATCTTAATACGCACATATCATGTCCTTGGTAAAGTACCGACGCAACATAATTCAAACATAGCGGTGTGTGCGGCTGTGTGGGTGGATCCCTATGATTCCTGAACCGCCTTTAAATGTGATCGGTCATCTCACTGTCAGCGCAACTACGGAGCGGAGAAGAAGCAGCTGTTGGGAACCTTTTGAGATCCTTCCATCTCATACCTTATTGTACCTTGGCGAATATTCACAGATCCATAAGGCTTCATAATGTCCACGGATATCTTCAAAGTCACGGAACATACTGCGCCGGCAGGCCATATCCGGGAATATCCCGGAAGCACTGTTAGAAGTCAGGAAGAGGTCCTGTCCTTGCATGTCAAACAATACACGCCGCTGGACCAAGGTCATACCATCTCTACCGATGCCATTACTGTGATCGCGACTCATGCTTGTGGTTACCCCAAGGTATGAATGACCCTATAGAATTATAGTGATGGAGGAGCCCGAGCCCCGTGGCCTTGAACCTGGCTAAATATTGTTAACCGCACGAGCTAAGAGCATGTTCCCTAATAAAAATATCACAAACAGGAACTCTATGAGCCCCTCTGGGATGAAATCTATCACCGGTTAAAACAAAATGGTGTCCATATTCGTAGCATATGGATAGCAGATGCCCCAAGCATGGGCATGAGTGGTGTACTCAATGAAGATAAGATCAGCCTTGACTGTAAGTCGTTCATCACTTGAAGCCCCACAGCCGTACTAAGTTCCATGTCTAGATTCGTGGATAGATTCTGCCCGCGATTTACTTCTGATGATCAATCACTTCCGCGACCAGATGCCACGGCCTCTTGTTGGAATCGGTCATAGTTTTGGGGGGAATATCCTGTATGGACTCCTTCTTTCATCTTATAATGATCATAGTAGCTAAAAGTCAGTATTACTGCTCAGAGCCAACCTTGCACTCATGCACCCGCGCCTGTTTACGACCCTTGTCTTCCTCGATCCCACCATTATGCCGAAAGGGGTGAGTCGGGGCATCGGTATTGACCCGCCCGGCGCCGTTAACTATGCTCTTTGGCGGCCCGACATTTGGCCAAACAGAAAAGCTGCGGCATCAGCTCATGCAAAGACATGGCGGCACTGGGACCGTCGCTGCTTCGACCTGATGGTCAAGTTCGGCTTCCGTGACCTCCCCACTGCACTGTATCCCACCATTCCAGAGGGCGCAGATCGTTCTGAGCCGCCGGTCACTCTCACCACAACTAAGTACCAGGAAGTAGCAGGTCTATACCGTTCTAATTTCTCGGCTCACACGGCAGACGAGAAAACTCAGATTGATCGCTCTGTTCATCCGGATATGGATCATATTTACGTTAACAGACCTGTCTATCGCCCTGAACCTCGCAGCACGTTCTCAAAGATTCACCATTTGAGGCCCCCTGTGCTCTGGATTCTAGGAGCGAAAACATTTCTTGGCATTGACAACCTCCGCGAGGCCATGAAGGCCTGCGGTGTGGGGGTCGGGGGTAGTGGTGGTATCTCCCATGGTCAGGTCAAAGAAATTCTCCTACCCGAGCGTGGCCATCTTTTCCCATTCGAGGACGTAAATCAGACGGCCAGCTGTTGTGCAGCCTGGCTGGTCCAGGAGATGGGAAAGTACAGGGAGTCGGAGCTTGCATGGAACAAGAGACGATCGTTAATGACTCAGCGTGATCATCTTGCGCATGGCGAAGATTGGTTCGAAGCTATTCAGATGCCGAAGGTAATGCAGCGAAGGGCCAAGCTGTAGCCGAATTTAATCAACGGCGGTAAGATGTATACATATGGTAGACGATGGGTATAGCTTCTATACGCTGCTTTATAGAGAATACCAAGGGGTGAGACGGATTTCTTATCGTAGATGTATGTATAAAATCCACAAACTCTCCCACAGAGGAATCTGCCTAAACATACGGAAATAGTATCATGGATAAGGGCCGAATTGTTATATCAATTCAATACAGCCCCTGTTGATGTACGGTATCGTAATTACCATATCGAAAACCCCAGTGTATTTATCCTTCCAGACCAACTCTTTCCCTCACCCCCCCCGATATCATTGTTTCTCATATCATCGAACACACTACCAGAGCCCAACCTATGATTTGCAGCAGGGCAATTAAATATCGAAGAAGAGCATCTTAGACATCCATCACCACATACCCAGCACTCCGCATTACAACACCATTCGCATGCCACTAACAACGGTGAAATACGCTATGATCACAGTGCACAGCCTGCTGTTATTTCTTCCCCTCGGGGTTATCGCAGCGCTTCTCAACTGGAACTCGGTGCTTGTTTCCGTCTTCAACTTTCTGGCGATTCTACCGCTTTCCGCTGTTGTGTCAGACGCTTCGGACACATTATCCGATTATTTTGGTGATTTGGTCGGGGGACTGATTAATGCGACCTTTGGCAATGCGGTCGAGTTGAGCGTGTGTTTCCGTCCCTGTTCCTCTGCGATTTTCTGTTTGCCTATTACGGTAACACGAATGAGTAGCCCCATGCTGACTGACCCTCCTATTTGTAGACTGGGATTCTGGCCGTTGCCAGCGGAGACACTTATTTTGCTCAGTCAGTTATGATTGGGAGCATTTTGTCAGATATTCTTTTGGTTGGTACTTGCAATTTTCTTTTCTTTCTAGGTCTTTTCGGAAGTTCCAATGTTGTCGGCAGACTATGTGACTAACAAATATGGTATAGATTATGGGCGGCTGTCTGATATCAGCCTCATACAACAAGCACATACTATATTTCAATATGGCCCAGACGGGTTCCTTGTCCTCCTTGATGGTTGTCACGGCCGTGGGGTTGATTCTACCCTCCGTTTTATATGCAACCTTTACCTCGGTGGACTTGGAAGATCAAGTCCTTAGCTTCTCCCGTGGAACTTCCACTGTGCTCCTGGTGCTATATATCGGATATCTCTACTTTCAATTAGGCACGCACGCACACCTATTTCAACAAGAACCGAACACTCCGCGAGAAGACGAAGGTGATCAAGGTGAAAATAAGGAGAGTCTGGTCCTGTGGAAAACTATCCTCACCCTTGTCGCTGCAAGCATCTCAATCGTTATCTGCTCCCACTTCTTCCTTGCCAGTGTCCCCGCTACATCGGCCGCGACCCGAATTTCGAAAACTTTTATTGCAACTATTCTCATTCCCATCACTAGTAATTGCCCCGAAGGTGTGGCAGTGATCGCCGCTTCGTTCGGGGGCGGTGATGTAAACTTTGCCATTAGCGTCATTGTCAGCAGTATCTTGCAGATCGGACTCTTTGCCATTCCGTTCCTGGTCATGTTTGGATGGCTGATTGGGGTGCCAATGACGCTCTTTTTTGAGACGTTCCATACGTTGGTCCTGTTCTTCGCTATTCTGGTTGTGAACCAAGTTTTGAAGGACGCTAAGTATACGTATCTTCATGGGAGTCTGCTGATTGGGCTGTACGTCTTTTCCCGTTCTGTTCTTCTTAGCTTATCTATAGCTTGTGACTGATATATTGGCTTAGATACGCGATAATCGCGCTTGCCTTCTGGGTCCGCTGAGGAGATGGAATTGCTACTTCATGGAAACATCGCAGTATTGCGCTGACTTATCAGTAAATGTCAAGACATGAACTATATATCACAGTGCCCCTTTACATGTCCGTGTTGTATATGGCAGGCCCTCAATTAAGGCGTGGGTTTTGTGGTGTCGGTTGTTCCAGGACGCATATAGAAAGCAGCAACAGATATGATATATCTAGAGGAGAGAAGCGGTGGTTAGCAATTCGTAAAGTAGATAAGATGGAGCGCTGACTCACGTTCCCACAAGCATTAGTCCTTCGAAATAATTACTCTTCCCATTCTGAATCACATGAATCAACACCATCGAAGCCAAAAACAACATGGTCGCTTCAAACGTGTCCATCTGCAGAGTGATGGGCAGGTTTAAGACCCAGCCTAAGATGATCAGAACGGGGATAACAAGGAGAGTAATACGCAGTATGCTGTTGATGATGGCCCGCACTGCGGACTCCGCATGGCCCTGGCGTGAGACCATGACAATGGAAACATATCTCGCGGAGTTGCCAATAAGTGGAACCAGCACCAGGGTGGGAAAGGCTGAGCTAAGGCCAAGCTGTTGTGCAACTCTATCGGCACTCTTAACAATACATAAAATGCACATGATCAGGCAGGAGATTCCCGTCACAAGAGCAATCAAAGCGCTTCGTGGTGCGAAAATTCTTGCTGGCCGATCCTGCGCGATGCCACGATCGTTCAGACAGTGGCTACCTGGAGGGCCTTCGCTAGATGCTTCGGCAAGGTCAAAGATTGACGCATGACTCTTCAGTTGGAAGAGAAGGAACACCCCAAACAAAACCAAAAGTACGATTGCTGCTGCACGTGAAACAAAGACAATCTCGAGCCGAGTCACGGAAGCCTGGGGAGAAGTGGTGTCCAAAGAGGGAAACGTAACCATAATCGTTGGAATCAAAAGGGACATGCACACGGCTATCATGAGCGACGACATAATGCTGATCAGGGTGCGGTCAAAATGGAGATGATCTTTATCGTAACCGGTGAGACAGAAGCAGCTCCCTGGCACCTAGAGCTTCTTAGTAATGATATCTTTGCTATCAGACGAGTGATGCACGACTTACCAAAAGCATGTAGCAGAGCATGCTTCCTATCAGGGTCGAATGAATCATGCGCAAGTGTCCACTGTTCATGGCCACAACTCCCAGGATCAGTTCAATTGCATTACCAACGGTCGCTTTGAGCATTTCATCGACCACGCGCCCAGTCTCCATAGACAAATCGGCAATGGATATTGTAAGCAGGGTGGTGAGTGGTATCAATGCCGTAAGATTCAGGATAAACACCACTTGAGATGGTCCGCCCAGGATCGCTGTGATGATTCCAATAGGGACTGTAGCCAGCATTGCTTTCACACACTGATGACTGCCAATTTTGACGATCGCTCGGTGGAAAGGACGCCATTGTTGGCGGGCCACTCTCAAAGGTGTACTAGGGATGGGGGAGAGAAGGGAATTATTCGGCGATACAGCAGACATGCTATCTAAGGGAGGTAGCTGCTGGTGTCTGTGCCTGACCGATTGCATGTTGTCACCTTCGCTGACAGTGAATGGAGTCTAGAAAAACCGCGAGTATTACTTTTGGATCTGCTGGATGACTGTGGTGGCGGTCATTAGGACCGAACATATGGATGTACGCCAGAGGGAAACTAGAAATACGGTGAGCCTCAAATAGAAACACTGGTACGGTTCCTGTTTGGAAAGTTTACGGGCCGTTCAGCCCTACAGGGCCAGAGTGTCATTTTCTCACTGGTTGCCTTGTCCATCCCGTCCCCACTCTGCAGGGCCGAAGCGTGAAGCTTCATCGCTAGGCATCCACATTTCTACCAATCAAGGTTCCCCGCAGCTGTAATATACGGTATTGACAAGAACGTACCAAGTAAGGTATGAGACACTCCCCATGGTATTATCGTTGTCTGGCTATCAACTGATAGTCCATACCCCCATCCCCTCTTGTGGACTTTCTTCCTCCTCAACCACGCCCTCAATCATGGCTGGTGCTGCCCAGAGAAATGCCTGGCATGCCGTCCAGGTTACTCTTTTCTCGAGCTATGCAAATGTGATGCTGGTGTTTGTCTTCCTGGGCATTTTCGCCGGTGCTCGAGGATGGGAACCATCAGCTGTGTTCTTATTGAATTTCTTAGCCATCTTTCCCCTAGCTTCCTTGCTCTCCTTTGCGACTGAAGAATTATCCAAAAGTGTGGGACAGACCGTGGGGGGACTGATTAATGCGACCTTTGGAAATGCGGTAGAGATGATAGTAAGCCCAACTCAACTCTCTTTCCCGTTGCTCGACGTTTGGCCCCGGTCGCTAACCACACCGGACAATTCTGTAGGTGGGAATTACGGCTGTAACTCAAGGGGAGATCAACATTGTTCAATCGAGTATGGTTGGCAGTATTCTTTCCGGAACTCTTCTGGTAAGAGACATAGTTTTGGACTGAGGTTTTCCTTGATCCACTTACTCTGGTTTCGTACAGGTTCTCGGATGCTGCTTCCTGGGTGGAGGATATGGCAAAGAGACGCTATCCTTCAACGTCGATGTCACTCAGATCATGTCGTCTTTGATGATCGTTGCCTCGACCTCCCTCATCATCCCTTCCGCTTTATACTCGACTACTCTCTCCGAGCTGCCTGAGGGAGACGATTACATCCTCACCCTATCCCATATCACTGCGATTTTCCTACTCATGTTTTACTTGGTCTATCTTTATTTTCAACTGAAAAGCCACGCTCATCTTTTCGCGAGCACCGAGGAGGAATCGGACGAAAAGCGCGAATTAGAACCTCTCCCCGCTAGCATCATTCTGATCCTTGCAACCCTTGGAGTCACCGTCTGCTCCGATTACTTGGTGGAGGGCGTGGACGGGTTTGTGGAGGTATACGGCGTCAGTCGGGCTTTCTTGGGGATGATTGTCGTCCCCATTGTCGGCAATGCGGGCGAATTTGCCATCACAGTGAATGCCGCAATGGGCGACAAGTTAGATCTCGCCATTGGGGTGATTGTTGGAAGCACGCTTCAGATTGCGCTCTTTGTGACTCCGTTCCTGGTGATTTGTGGGTGGTTTCTCGGGCAGCCAATGTCTCTGCGGTTTAATACTTTCGAAACCGCTTGCTTCTCCCTTGCTGTGGTGGTGATGAACTGCTTGACTCGAGAGGGGAAATCGAACTACTTTGAAGGGTTATTACTGATCGGGACGTAAGTCATTTTCCTCCTTGCTTCTTTTGGGGACCATCGCCTGTCTAACCCGACCGTCGGTACCCAGGTATTTGATCATCGCGATCGCATTCTACGTCCATCCGGATGTGACCGATCATCTTGCAATTGCCTGAATTGCGTGAGAGGAGTAAACCAAAAATGTATAACTGAATTATCCGGGATCTTCACATGGCGTTTGCTTGATATATATTCGATAGATGTATACAGCAAGAGTAAACAATAGACCCATGGTTCGTGCCTCAGCCTTATCAGGCCGCCGTAATTCGAGTGGGGGGGAAATTTCAATACGCGAATAAAATACGTGGAAAAGTAAATTAGATGAAGTCAAACCGTTTCGTGGCTGCCGGAATTCCCCCTTGGAAAACGAGTCTTCGATTCCTGTCACGATGGACGCTTCTCTTTCGCTCCGTAACTTATATTCTCCTTGTCCTAGCGTTCTTTTACTTTTCTCTGTCATAGAATAATCCCGAGAACTTCAGGCAGTTTAGCATAATGTTTCCCCAACCGACCATGGCCTCCCCAGTCTACAAGGTCTAGACAATCGTTCAGGGTAAGTTCAGGGATGATTACTTCCGATACTGATAACAAACCCGAAATCCGCACTGGCATTTGACCCAGTCAATCTTTGATCATGGTAGGCGCACCATCTTTCCCAGTGAACGCAGATTAGTGAATTCGCATTAACGGAGTTAGAAACCCTTGAACGACCAACCAGATGCCAATACGGCCGACCCTACGATCATCGATCGCCCCAGAAATACCTTCGATCTTACGGCAGAGCAGCTCAGCGAACTCATAGAGTCTAGAAGCATAGAGACTTTCCATGCGTTAGGCGGTCTTGCCGGGTTGGAGAAAGCGCTGCGAACTGATCGAAACAGTGGGCTAAGTGTCGATGAATCAACGATTGGAGACTTTACCGAGTCAACGGAGGTTGCAACAGGACAACAGAATGGCTACTTCACGGACAGGACCAAGGCATTCGGGAATAATCATCTTCCAGTGAAGAAACAGCCGAGCATTTTCCAGCTCATGTGGATGGCATACAATGACCATGTTCTGTTCTTCTTAACCGGAGCGGCAATTGTCTCTTTGGCGCTCGGTCTATACCAGGCACTCGCGACCAAGCACTCCGCTCGCAATCCGCCCGTTGAATGGGTGGAAGGGGTCTCGATCCTTGTCGCTATCATCGTCATTGTTCTTGTCGGTGCCGCGAATGATTTTCAGAAACAAATCAAGTTTCAAAAATTAAACAAGAAGAAGCTAGATCGCAACGTGACCGTCGTTCGATCCGGTCACGCACGTGAAGTCCTGATCTCTGACCTAGTTGTGGGAGATGTTGTCCATGTGGAACCTGGGGATGTAATCCCGGCGGATGGGGTTCTAATCCAGGGATACCATGTCAGATGCGATGAGGCGTCCGCTACCGGTGAATCCGACCTCCTACGTAAACATGCTGGGGATGAAGTTCTCGATGCGATTCGAAGGAACGGTGATACTCAAAGCTTGGACCCCTTCATAATATCCGGGTCCAGTATAGCTGAAGGGGTCGGGTCGTACTTGGTGATTGCGACTGGCACCAATTCCAGTTATGGCAAGATTCTTCTCACGCTGAATGACAATCCTGGATTTACACCCTTGCAAACCCGGCTCAATGTATTGGCGAAGTACATCGCAAACTTCGGTGGACTTGCAGCTCTTGTGTTATTTATCATCCTTTTTATCAAATTCCTCGCTAGCCTTCCTCACAGTAGTCTAACGCCAGCAGAAAAGGGCCAACAGTTTCTAGACCTTTTTATTATCTCGCTGACGGTCGTGGTGATCGCAGTGCCGGAGGGTCTCCCACTGACAGTGACCCTCGCACTAGCTTTTGCAACCACAAGGATGCTCAAGGACCATAACCTAGTTCGCATGTTGAGGGCCTGCGAAACCATGGGCAATGCGACAGACATATGCTCGGACAAGACCGGGACTCTGACCCAGAACAAAATGACAGTCGTCGCCGGAGTGATTGGCACTGCCGGCAAGTTCGTTGATCCACAACAGGTGGATAACGATCTTGCTGATCCGTCCACCAGCCCAACGACCAGCGACTGCACTCGGTGTCTTGCGCCTGACTCAAGATCGCTTCTCAGGCAATCCATTTCACTCAACTCCACCGCATTTGAGAGCACCGACGAAGGTACCACGTCATATGTAGGGTCTAAAACAGAAGCTGCCCTCTTAACATTTGCTCGAGATCATTTAGGAATGAGTCAACTTGATGTTGAGCGCTCAAATGCGAAAATTGTAGAAGTTTTTCCGTTCGAAAATGCTCGCCAGTGTATGGTCACAGTCGCTCAACTGGAGAATGGCAGGTATCGCGCCTATGTGAAAGGAGCCCCAGAGGTACTGCTCGACAAGTGTATCGAAGCAATTGAGGACCCAAGCAAAGGGCTCTCTACACGACCGATCAATGCAGATATGGCCCAGGGTCTACGTCAGATAATCGCCGATTATGCCTCAAAGTCTTGGAGAACAATTATTGTGTTGTTCCGTGACTTTGACGTATGGCCTCCCCTTTATCAACTGGATGATCAAGTGGAAGAAATAAGAATAGAGGACATTCTCCAAGATCTTACTTTCCTCAGCATCATGGGTATCCAAGACCCTCTCCGAAACGGTGCTCGGGATGCCGTGCAGTCTTGCCATAAAGCTGGTGTGACCGTTCGTATTGTGACAGGCGATAACCTACTGACAGCAAAAGCCATTGCCGAGGAATGTGGTATTCTCGCAAACCCAGAAGATGTTGCGATGGAAGGCCGAGAGTTTCGTCGGCTTGGCGAGTCACAACAGCTCGAGGTCATTCCACGTCTCAAGGTCTTGGCAAGATCTAGCCCAGAAGACAAAAGGACATTGGTTCGTAGACTGAAAGCAATGGGAAGAACTGTTGCTGTCACTGGTGATGGAACAAATGATGCCCCTGCTATGACAGCAGCTGATGTCGGATTTTCTATGGGTATCTCCGGAACTGAAGTCGCGCGCGAAGCCTCGTCTATTGTACTTATGGATGACAACTTCAGTTCAATTGTGAGGGCAATCATGTGGGGTCGAGCTGTCTCAGATGCCGTCAAGAAATTTCTGCAAGTATGTATAATAGTAAACCTAAGTATACCATTAAAGAACAGCTGGGTTGCTAACCATTTCATGATCTGCAGTTCCAAATAACCATCACATTCACCTCTGTCGGCCTCGCTTTCGTCTCATCCGTCGCCAGCTCCAATGAACAGTCGGTTCTTACTGCTGTACAGCTTATGTGGGTAAATCTGTTCCAAGACACGTTAGCAGCGCTGGCACTGGCAACCGACCCTCCATCGCGAAAAGTATTAGACCGGAAGCCAGAGCCGAGATCAGCGCCTTTGATCACAATTCCAATGTGGAAGATGATCATAGGGCAATCGATCTATCAGCTAGCGGTGACTCTTGTCCTTCACTTCGCCGGAAGCAGCATCTTCTCCTATACGCCCGACGACAAGGATGGTCTTCAAACTGCGGTATTCAATACATACGTTTGGATGCAGATCTTTAATATGTATAAGTACGTCTCACCATACTCCATGATTAGTGTATATCATGCCAAACCTTCCACAACCAACACTGTCCAATCCAACTCCACCCCCAGTTTTGCCTTGATGCCCGACTACAATGCATACGTGTTCCATACTAATCAATCACAGCAACCGCCAACTCGAAAACAGCATCAACCTTCTCGAGGGTTTATCCCGAAACTGGCTATTCATATGTGTCACTGTCTTAATGATGGGCTGCCAAGTCCTAATCATCTTTGTGGGAGGCCGCGTCTTCTCAGTTGTCAGACTTACTGGCACCCAGTGGGCTTACTCGGTTGTTTTGGGGGCTCTGTCTATCTTGGTCGGGTTCGTTATCAAACTCATACCGGATGAACCTGTTGAATGGGCCTTTGCTGGATTTGGGGCTATCTGGTCATTCATATTTTTAAAGTTAAAAGTTTTCCGGAGGAGAAGGAATGATGATGTTAGTGCTTGAGGGAAACAAGGGTTACCATGGGAAACGGGCTTCTATCTATACAGGAGATAAAGTGTAAACCGCAACTATATCGTATATTCTATGCTAAAACTTCTCAGTCTATACAACAAATATATCTCCTAACCTGAACTTGAGATCCGGTCTTACCTAAAACAACAATAGGAGAAACACTCCTCCAGCTTTTGGATGTACCATTCTGAATGAAGAACGATAGCAGAGGCATTGTCTCAGTCAGATTATTAGCGGGTCTCTAAAATCTCTTCTTGCTTCTTTCTAAGTGCAACACAGTTTGGCTAGTGCAAAATGTCGACTCCACATATGAGCTCGATCAGGACCGGGAGAAATCACATCCAAAGCGGTGAAACTACAATGGAAACAGGCAGCTTCCACTGGATGAAAGCTGCATTCATGCAGATTATTGCCTATCGCTTCACTCATCGCATCTTTGCACTTGACAAGGATTTCCATTTAACCAGCTTCAAGACAACGTCAATATTATTCTCCGAAGGATGGCACGCGACACTAATAGCCGCACTGCAGCTACCTGCCAGAGGCATGTTGGGTTTGAACCGCCTTAGCCCCAATACACCCGCCGCGCACAGCATTAAGACCCCAAGAGGTAGAAGGATGATCATTGCGACAAACTGAGAAGCCACATGTGCTAATCATAGCCCGTGCACTTCCCCATCCGCCGTATGAGACGACACGTACGTAATCTAAACTTTGTGAGACGAGCCAGTGTAGCATGACAGATGCTAATAGCAGTGGGACGATGTATCGATACGGTAGACTCAGGTAGTATGTTGATCATTGAGCTCCTTGGGGTTCGGAGACGCGTAGGGCCTTTCGCTCATTGCTGTAGTCATTGTATTCGGCCGCTAGGACCATGCATGTCTTAAGATCGTTGTAGAGGAAATATATTATGGAGAGAAATAGCTGTGGGGTGTTCGCGAGGATGGCCATAGATAATGGGCTCTGCGGATTGGCGTGTAGTCTGGGTAGGATATTGGGTTCGCCGAGTTGGGAAAGGAGAGTGGATTGTCTGTACTGGGATACATCAGTAGGTTGTCGCTGCGTACGGGTCCCAGACCTAAATGCCAGTGAAAGCTCAGCGGGTGGCCTGCGGTTTGGAGGGTGACCCCGATTAGAGCCCCTAATATCACAAGGGAGATTGCGCCGCTGTAAAATGTACAAGGCTAGTGCGTGATCATTTGCTTGGAAGGATGAGACATTAGATTTAGAGAGTCATAACTGATGCCCATTGTAGCGGGCTGACAGCTCGAAACCATATGGTCGTCTGTAGCAGAGGATTCTGACGGGTTGATCTGCTATTGAAAGAGGGAGAACTCGGTCTAAGCTTCCAGAGCTCCGGGTCATGCAACATGGTCTCCTTTGGCACTAAGCCTTCATTCCTCATCGAAGGATCTGGTCGAGTGAGTAAGGAGGCTATAGCGTCACCGACATTTAGAAGCACGTCGCTTCTGGTATCCTGCATACAAAGTAGCATAGCAGCAAGCTTGATGATATTGCAGATTATCACCATAAGACATATCGCGAGGCTAAATGCGAGTGCCCAATATGAGTCGATCTTTTCGCCTAAGAATGTATGGACCGAAACATTTGTAGTCCTATATTGGGATTGACCTGTAGGCAAAGTAGGGGTAGAACACTCCGTTCCGAGATGAAAGATCACATCAGACGCTCAAGAGCTGTTATGCCAGTTTTCCTTGTTGTCTAGAAACGCCCTAAGACCGTCAGCGTCCTCTGATTGTGTGGGTAGGCGCATATCCCTGAGGGACTGGTGTAATTTTAGCATGTCGTCGCAGTCGTCGCGGTCGTCATCGCTTGTGTAAGTGTAAACATAACTATACACACTGCCCGGTTAAGGTGTTATTCGTTGGAGTAGCGTTCACATTCCACATTGGCATCCTCCAAGGTAGCGGTCCAATCACGACTCGTGCCATTTGGGAAAGTCTCAAGTAGGAACTAATTCCTGGCCCCGTATCCCCATATAGAATAGACTGGTTAGCTGCTTGTAGATCCTTCAAGAGCAGGATGATTGTCCCTAGACTTTGCAGGGACCCGTAATCGTACGTTTTAGACATGCTCATAATGCTCATACATGCCTTTATGTCCATGTGTTCTTGAAGTCAAAATCTGCTAGGGCCATTCATAACTCCAAGTTCTTTCTGGCTTATAGATGAGAACACAGCTAAATTATACCTAGATCATCGCCGATCAGAGAGAAAGAGAGGGAGAGGGAGATAGAGTAGAGTGAAACACGTACAGAGTGTGAAACGGGACGGATGTCAGCAGCAGGATCATCCAGAGAATACACCGCCATATGGAAGCATACCATAGATTCTTTATGCTATACGAATCTATACTAAGCCAGATACGGTTTGAATGGGCGTGGTCAATGTAGTCACGAGTCGGGCTGTGAGGCACTGCATACAGTAGCTGCTGGCGGCTAGAATGATTGTACTAAGAAATTCCTAAATAAGTGTAGCTCAATCGTCCAATTCTTCGATGCTGTGCAAGACCCTTCATAGAGGGTTTCCTGGCTGAATCCATAATCACCAAACTTGGTGTATGCAGTTGCAGAACCGGCGATAGTAAGAGCTACATTGACAACCAATACACCTAAGACTGCCCCAGTGGCTATGCACACCCGTCCACTCCATTGAAGTTTCCCTTTGAGTGAAGTAGAGCCCATGACGGGCAGGGTAAGATGAGCCTTGCGTGAGCTATTATACGCGTTGCACGGTAACAAGTGATAAACTTTGGGTGGAATCGTGTTGGCAGGCACAGCCTTGCTAATGCTGCGTCAAGACATGCGGGACTTGTGTTAGCCCAGCCTGACTGTCAGTCGATCTATACTTCCCCAGTACCTTGCCAAGGATCTAATCTCATCCGCTTGCTGAGAGCCAGTGTCATTAATAGGAGTGCCCCTGTCCTGCCCATGGTCCTAGTGATAGCCATAGTTCAGGGATAGTTACTCTGCGAACGATCACACAGAGATGATTATATCCATACTCTCTCTCTTGTTACCCGACAAAGCTCATACAAGCCCTCGCGGCATTAGCTTAAACTTATGGCAGTTTGACACTGTTTGTCTTCCGAGTGGCATTGCCATACATCACAGAAAGACTAATCCATCAAATAATAGAACATCAAGGGCTTGCATGGAGAGGATCTTGGAAACATAGAGCTATTCTTCTTCATCCTACTTTCCTACAACTTCTTGTACCTAAGGAAAGCATTTCGACAAAGCTCCTTCCAAAATTGTTTTCTTTGGGATCATCTGAGGATGATTGAAGCTATTTTTAATACAGAGTTTGTTCATAAGCATATACTTTGACAATGTCTATTACTGCCTCCAATGCCTACCTTACGCAACCTCGTTGGGTATAGATTGATGGCCGCTAAAGTCGATCCTAATATACAGCCAACAACAAAGGGAAAACAATAACTTCTAAACATAAGCCTGCCTGCTATTGGGAGAAGTAATTTGGGTCTGCTTGAGAGGAACCACAGTAAACACTCTGTCGCGCACAAATCTCTCTTTTCTTCATTATTTAAATGCATTGAGAAAATATATTCAAGGGAAGGTACTACACGGTACACCATACCGATAGCAACATGACACAGTCCCACTTTATTTTCACAAATTTTCACTCCCCTCCTCCATTTTGTGCAGTGACTTCATATACATACACAGTTATGAATTTTTGTGTTGCTGTGCAGGAAGCTGGATGAACACTTGTCACTAGACAGTCAGGATGATATCAAAGCAACGATAGCATGGCCGGTCAGCCTAACCAAAGGAGGAAAAAGTACCTCGGCTGTTTTTGTTGCTGGACTTTTTCTTAGCGCCCAACAATGTCAAAGCTCCATCTTTTCAACCCCTTTCGATCGAGCCATACATGTCAGAGTATAAACCTGTGCGCGAATTTTTGACCAGCCGAGGCAAAACTCATTGCTCGGACACACCCCGAAACTACCCATAGCACTGTGGATGAGGTTATATTTGGTTGGGATTGTACTATGAACATATAGTGAAATCGGCGATCACTAATCCTGGTTCAATGTTCCAGTCTGCTTCTAACCAACTATAGCGCCGTCTCCTGTAATTTCCAGGCAATTTGCAGAGACCAGAAGGTCAAGACTCTAGACTCTAGACTCTAGTACTCTAGTTGGGCGAAACTGGGTAAAGATGGTGCTATACGGGAGCGACTCAAAGTTGAGAGCCCTCTATTCTATGTCCTTACAGAGGCACATAGTGACTACCTACTTGTATAAGAATTTCCGTCAGTGGATAGACCTCCAGGAGTCGATATGGTTCAGTTTGTTCTCAGCCTAGGGCGTTGGCAACTCGGTGACAGGAACCCGTTTATCCCGTGCCGTGACTAACCCTATTTAAGGAAAGACTCAACGTATCCACAATGCGATGTCTGTCATTTGCTGCCAACGTTTTCACTACGAGGACGAAACGAGGTTCAGGATTTTCGGGCTACCCTTTCCTTTTTCGTTGACATCCGGACGTCGCGAAGACACATACGATATTCCTCTCAAACAATATATTGACTGATATTAGAGTCTATATACACCGAAGCCGACCATAGAAACCCAAGCCCACACACACAGAGAAAGCGAACGTAAATGGAAAGTCAAAAGCGAGAAATAATGGCTAGAAACAGAAAATTTGGTCGCTCATCCTTGACACCGCTCCCGCCTTTTGGAATCCCATGGCCGCCAACGTCTTCTTGGTTGCGTTGACCATGCCGGGAGGCCCGCACAGGAGGACCTTAGTATCCTCAGACGGACCCGGTAATTGTTGGTTAAGGACTTCCTGGTTCACAAAGCCAGTTCCATAGGCCCATCCATCTGGAGCACTATCCAGCATATACCAAAGCTTGAGGTTCTTGGGATATTTGTGCGCAAACGCCTCTAGTTCCTCCCTCAGCAAGATGTCTGCCTCTGTGCGGTTGGCGTAGAGCAAGCTGATCTCAGTCGTGTCCCGCTCATCCTCACAGATCGCACGAATGAGCTGATACATAGGCGTGATGCCTGTTCCTCCAGCGACCATGCCTAGCTTGGTGCAGAGACCCTTGTTATAACGCATCGCTCCCTTGGGACCCCGGAACTCAACTTCATCTCCCACCTTTAAGTTGGCTAGGTACCGGCCGGTGAGCAGGCCTTCAGGGTAGCACTTGACGACTAGCTCCAAGCGACCGAGGTCCAGGTTATTTGACACGGGAGTATATGATCGCGATACAGTCGCTCCGTCAACAACTGCGCGTATGGCTACGTGTTGTCCAATAGGCAGCCCGATCACTCCCTTAGAACTGGGCAAAGCGAACACGAATCGATAGACATTAGAAGATAGTTGATCTTTTTCAACCAAAGGCAAGCTCTTGAATTCTTTGGCATCCAGAAATCCTTTAGCCAAGTGCGGGTCAGTCTTCATCACGCTTCGGGCTTTGATATGTGGAGGGTAGCGCAAGAAGCCTGAGTCAATCTTGGTGAATTTTGCTGCTTGACGGGCCACAGCTGTGCCAACTATCGCAGAGATGGCTGCAGCTGTAAGAAAGCCATTGGTGAACCCTCCACGAGGCAACCTGATTCCGGTGAAATACTGAGGAATCAGTTGGCCGAACTCATTCTTTGGGACCAGGGAGCCAAAGGTGCCCCGTTGATAGGCATACAGTATGGATGCCACTACTCCAAGCACACCAGCGATTGCCCCAACTGGGCGGCTCCCAGATGGTTGACGCACGGTCTCTGGCTTCTGGGCAACCAGTTGGACCTTCTTGGGTGGGACATATTCCTTAGCACCTTTCAGAGTGCCGATTAAGAACTCCTGCATGATCTCTACCGAGTCCTCGGAATGGCCAACATCTTCAAACGCTTCCGTGGCATCTGTACCCGCCGTTTCTAAGAGGATCTCTGCGCCTCCAGGATGATCTTGGAGGTAGTTTGTGATGTCGAAAACTATTTTTCTTTAGTTATGTTGAACCTAACCTAATAGTCGGAAACTATTACCTTTGCCATGAACAATGATCCAGATATCATCTTTGCGGTTATGCGATGTGACCTCTGCGGCGGTGTACTCAGGAAGTTGGACATCCACAGGACTGTCGGCCTTTGCCTCCATCATTTCGATTGGATGTTGTAATGTATGAGAACGATAATTAGTTACAGCATAGAAGAGTAGTAAAACTAGATCTTTGTACTGGCCAGGCGAGTTCGTGGTTTATCATTGCGTTGGAACCGCCACGGAATTGAGCCAGTAGCGTGAGACATAAAAGTCAACATAAGTAGGGTACCCACAATCATATTCTAAGTACCTCAGATAGTCGGGGCGTCTCACTGAAGTCGGCATCTTCTCCTCCGAGATTGGCATAAATTAAAAACGGCCCGATGGATATTCGGCACGACAAGGCCGAGTTTTGTAACTTACTCCGTACGTGGCAGTCACAGCCGACATTGCGACTGCAAAGCTTTCCCCTTTATGTTAAAATCCAATGATTTCAATGGGTGGCTGTGGGTCTAGGGTGACGATCTCTGTCTCCCACTGGTGTCAGGTTTGGCGCTGAGAGTGCGATGCCGACCTCGATAGCGAAATTTACCGAGGAAGGCATCGAGGCATTTTTACGTGCAGGGAGCACAAATCTCAATATGCATTTCATTACTATGCTCTGGTTCTTATCACTCCAATGTAAAGTGGGATCGGACAATGTGGATTCGCTCTGAGACGGCCTTTCGCCCTAACTTTGGCCATTCAGGGTACTATAAATTAACACTTCGACCCTTGGCAATAGAGGCCGCGATTGATTTCCTATCGACCAACTGACTCTGTGGGAAATCTTCCTAGGTTTGAACAAAATGCATATCAAACTGTTCTACCTTTCGGGGGAGCCTAGTGCTACCGCGAGGGAAATTGAACTGGAACCTACACTGGACTACGATGGACTCAGACATCTCATTGCTGCACACTTCGCTATAGTGGAACCGAATGGTACGTTTATCCAGCAAGCCTATAGGGGAAAATAATGAAAAACGCAGCGGGGGTTTGGAAATGCCTTTTGTGACTTATTTGGTCTTCAGCTGATCGTTATAGGAATCGGATTCCAGTCCCAGGATGCAGTCTTATCCGATGTTGCGGAGATCCTTGCAAATGAGGATCCCATTAGCATTACAATTGATGGCAAATCCGTGCGAGAGATTCCTGGCCCCAAGGGGCTTCCAATCGTGGGCAATTTCTTCGAAATCTATCCCGACCACCTAGGAAACCATCAACGGTTGTTTGAACAATATGGACCCATCATCAAGACAACGAACATGGGGCGTACGGTCTACCAAACCAACGATCCACAATTATCATCGATCATTTTCTCAGAAACCGATTTCTTTACCAAGAAGATTAACGAAGCTCACCCGCTCCACGCGATCAAGAACCAACAAGCCGGTGTGTTCCTAGGGGATACCGACACTGCGGAGTGGAGAGCGGCACATAAGTTCCTTCCCCCAGCATTGGGCCCCAAGGCTGTTCGGCATTATGCCCCTACAATGCAACAGACAGTCGAAGATGCTTTCAAAGTATTCGATCACTTTGACGAGAATGGTGAGGCCTGGAACGTCTACCAATACATGCTTAAACTTGGATCCCAAGCGGTTGGAAAGCTTGTACTCGGCATTGATTTCAATCACTTCTCATCTCCGGATGCACCTCCCCATGAACTCATTCAGATCATTGCAGAGTCGTTGTCCTTGAATAAGAAGGTAACCGCAAGGGGTGATTGGTATGCGAAGCTGCCGTTTGGCGATCCGCAGCGGTTGAGAAATATGCGCTATCGAATCTTCGACATAGTAGACCAGTCAATCCAAAATGCTAGCCGTGGTGGAGTCGAAGATCTTCCCCTTCAGGATGCTGCTCTGAAAGCTTCTAACATGATCGGTGAGTGTGGCAATGTGTTGCATCTGAGCAGCTGCTGATTAAAGTAGACTACGCCATCCGAGCCACCGATAACAAGGGTGAAAAGTTGCCTAAAACAAGTCTGATCCAGTCCTTGGTCGTTGCGACTGGAGCTGGCTTTACTACAACTAGCTCGCTATTGTCATGGCTGATATACAGTCTTGTTACGTACCCAGGTGTTCAGGATCGCTTACTGCAAGAGCTGATCGACAACGATATTACCGAGGACACCCAAATAACAGCAGACTTGACAGACCGATTATCGTTCATGGATAAATTGATCAAGGAAACCCAGCGTCGCCATAACCCATCTTATCAGCCCGCACGGACCGCCAAGGTTGATATGATCTTACCAGGAGGCTATAAGCTACCTGAGGAATCCGTAGTAGTCGGTGCTCTTCATCACCTTCACAATAACCCAGAAGTCTGGAGCAACCCAACCAGATTTGACCCTGATCGGTGGGACACAGAGGAGGTAAAGAACCGGCACAAGGCCGCCTATATTCCCTTTGCGACTGGTCCCCGCATGTGCATTGGCTTCAACTTTGCGCTACAAGAAGTCAAGGTATTCTTGCCTAAGCTAGTATACCGTTACAAGTTTATGAAGGAGAACGATGGGCCGATCGAGTATGACCCTATGTTCCAGCTGATTCGGCCTAACAATTTGTACGTGCGCGCCGAACGGCGTGTAAAATGGCCTCCGAAGTCGGAGTCTGCCACTGCGAGGGCTTCTCTTTAATTCTTGCAGTTGTTGTTCATTGAAACTTTGGAAAATTCGGTTGTCCTGATTTCCTGGATCTTGGGCTTATAAAACTTTCCTGTACATAGACTAATCTAAGACATCTGGATATAGAGAAAAATTGATTTAGCACTTGGCTACAAGAAAATTAATACAACAGTCAAAACACAACAAGTGACAGCAGGCAATTAAGTAAAGCAAGGACCAGCCTCTGCAGAATATTGACCTTCTCACTCCTTCCTCAACATATCCATCTCCATCGGTCAAAGCAGCTTGTCCAAACTGGTTCCCAGCACTATCAATGCCCGGATTGGATCTGTCCCGTATGCAGTCCTCGCTTTTGTCCACCTCAGTTAGAGGTCGTGGTAGCCCCGTTGCATCTTCTGTTTGGCCCCTTGGCCATCATGTCCCTGCTGGTTCTGCTGGCCTTCATGACCAGGTTTGCTTCCCTGGCCATGTTCGCCTCCATTACCATGCTTGCCTTCTTGGCCATGCTGGCCTTCATGACCATGCTCACCTCCCTGACCATGTCCACCTCCCCTACCATGTTTACCTCCCCTACCGTGCTCACCTCCCTTACCGTGCTCACCTCCCTTGCCATGTTCACCTTTCTCATCATCACCACCTTCCTCACCCTCCTCATCATCGCCTTCATCACCATCACCCTCGTCATTATCGTCTTCTTCATCCTCGTCGCCTTCTTCATCTTTTCTGCCTTTTCCGTCTTCTTTGCCGTCTTTACCTTCCCCGCCTTGTTTGCCACCCTCACCACCTTTGCCATGTCTAGTACCGTTCGCGGTTGCTTCGCCGCGAAGAACCATGTTGACTCTCTCGCTCTGGAAGCCAGGGACAGTGGCACGAGTGGAGACATCGCTGTACTCATTCTTACGAGACAGAGAGGCTTCTGCATCCATCACTGGTTAGCTTTGGTTGAAACTTGGGATATCAAGGAGAGGTGTCGGGACGTAAATGTACCTGATGCAAGTTTGGCACGGCTATCTTTCGCAGAAAGAGGAACCGAAGCTGCCAGAGCAACCAGGCCGAAGAGAGCTAACTGCTGAAATCTCATTTTGGAGCTGGAGTTCTTGGGGCAAAAGAAGATGTTTGGCTGGTATACTTGAGGGCTTGAGGACCTGATGGTTGTGTCTGTTGCTGGTCGTCAAGATGGTGAAAACTTAGTCGGTACTTATACACATAACTTTAATTGAGTGCTTACGGA